GGTAATGGTGACAGTGGACGTCTGGAGGTGTACCATGATGGAGAATGGGGCTCTGTCTGCAGTCACAAGTTTGGATATCATGAAGCTACTGTAGCTTGTCGTATGATGGGCTACTCTTATGCTAAGCGAGCCTATACTAAAAGCAATGCAGCATACTTTGACACAGTTGATAGCAATAAGATAGTTTTATCAGAGTTGAAGTGTGATGGGACAGAGAGTCATCTCTCTGATTGTGACTTTGATGATGAAGAAACTTGTTCTCAAGGCAGTCCAGTGCATATTGAGTGCAGGAATGGTCAGTAAAATAATTTCAATAATTATCATAATAATTATTATTTCATATAGAAATGTCCATAGAAGAGGACTAATGATTATTTGCTGTTTTTATTCAAGGACTTAATACTCTTTTGTAACACCTTTAGTTTTGTAGCAAACAGTTTTTGTAGTGATCAATCACAAAATTGTCATTGAACTTGTCACATGTGTACATTTAACACTTAGTTTTGCAACAATAGCTTTTATCATCAGTTTATTTTTAGAAAGATCTTTTAACAACTTGACATAAAAGCAGTTTTACTTTGATTAGTAGACCACCCTCTAAGGGCTATATTTAAAGATAAATTGTGACTTTCTGCATGACAACAAAATAGCGCTAATTATATTACAAGGACAATAATTATCAAATGATATAAATAATAATTATAATAGATGATCAATAGTCATCCCCTTTGCTGATGACCTCCTTACAAGTTGGCCTCAGTAATATAGTGTGCTCATACTGAGCTGTATAGGACCCCCTCACGTCACACAATGGAGGATAAGGGTCAACTATGCCGGAATCACAAAGATTCTTTAGCGCCATTAAATATCGGCTCTGGCCCAACCTATCCAACCACCTGCGACAAAAAGCGAGCGTAGAAAAGTTCTGATTGATGACGTTGAGGAGCTGCTTGGCGCTTGCCATCCGGAGAGGAACATGGCCGATATCAAAGTTTTTCATGTAGTGAGAGCAGTCCATGTCATCATGGACCTGCCCTCGGCCAGTAGAACCAAAGGTCTCAATGGCAAAGAACTCACCCTCTTCCATTTTAGTTGCTTCACCGCCTATGAGGGAGAAGGAGAGAGAAATTACTGATATTTCACAATGCTTGCTGTTGTTGTTAATCACCTCTTACTATGGGTACTGTTTTTCCAGCATGGATCCTATAAGGGGCAATTGAGTGACCTGGAATAAAAATAAACACATTCTTAATGCTTCAACACAGTCTCTCTCCCTCACCATTCAGGTTTCTTATTGACTTCACTCGGTAAGTTTTCCCTTCCAGCTCAACCTCATAAGACTCCATTACTTCCTGTATGGCTTCCCCCACGTCGCACAGTCTCACATCTATACCTGCTGCTTTAATACCTAGACATACATATATATATAAACACAGTAGCATTGTTGCTATTAGTATGTGTAGGTGTATATTCAATTATAAGTGTCCCTTACATACCGGTATTGGTTGCATCTTTAACTGCAGTCAGAAGTGGCTCGTATTTCGGATTAAAAGCAACAGTAAATGCACAATCAATGATACGCCCATTGACCTAAAAATAACAAAAAAAATCCGACATTTTCTCACAGCTACACTCCTCCCCCTATCTTGTTACATGTATCAGCAAAGTGTGAAATAAATCCAAAGATCGTATAAATTTTTACAGTTGCTTAAAAATCAGGCTTTGGTCATTGGCCAAATTTCGCCAAAAATGGCTCGGTGAGAATTCTTCATTTTTATAATTCTTTCTGATACATATACATGTTTGTAGTTTGTATTTCAATTTTGAGCTGATTCCGATCAAAATTTGCTTTTTTATGAATTTTTAAAGTTACTCAAAAATCAGGCAAAAGACCCAAGGCTATAGCCTTGGGTCATCGGCCAAATTTCGCCACAAATGGCTCGATGAGAATTCTTCATTTTTATAATTTTACCTGATACATATACATGTTTGTAGTTTGTATTTCAATTTTGAGCTGATTCCGATCAAAATTTGCTTTTTTATGAATTTTTAAAGTTACTCAAAAATTAGGTCAAAAGATATACTAAGTTCCCACAAGCACTGTTATTCTTATACCTTGCCGATTGTACTGTATATCAACTGTGCTATTTTTTGCAACATACGTGTGTTCCAAAGTCAATCTTGCACACATCATCATAGCCCAGTACAGTATTGTCCCCTCCATTAGGAGTGTAGTGGGCAGCACAGTGATTCAGTGAGCACCCAGTTGGAAATGCCAAGCCTACAATTACATGTATACAGATTATTATCATTATTACTACTACTTCTATTAAAAGCTTCACATTACCGGCTTCTAGTCCTTTCTCTCCAATTAGTTTCCTTGATGTTTCTTCCAAGTGCTCGCAAATATCAATCATCTTCATGCCTGGTTTTATGTACTTCTGCATGTACTTCCTAGTCTGTCTATGATAGAAAGAACAGACACAGATCAGTGTAATGCCACGTGATTGCATAAAAAGAATTAATGCATTAATCATGCAATACCTGTGGGCCTCAGCAGCTCTCCTTATTTCAGAATAGACATCAGACTGTGCTCTATCCAATGCTTTCTTCTCCTCTGTTGTAAACCTCTGAGCTGCAGTACTGTCATCCTACATGTACATGTACATGTACATACATATGCACAATCCTCACAATAATTATGATCTTGTTATTGTACATGTACATATAGCTAATTCACTTACAGTATAAGACATTTCCATGCCTTTTGGGTAAGTCTCGTCAGTGTAAAGCTCTGATATAGAAATGGAGGGAGGATTGGTCTGCTTCTTACGAGGAGCAGGTGCAGTTGGCTCACGATAAGATCCATCATACAACAGGAGCATGTCTGGAAATAAAGAGCTGCTATTATTGTATTTTTGATACATAAATGTACACATAGTAGTATCCTACATGTAGACATTCATGCATTGACTAACATTACAAATTAATATTGAGTTAGGGCATCAAAATTATATAAAATTGGTCAAGTTTTTAAAAGCATGACAGAAAAATTAATGTACATGTACATGCAACTTTCTACCACTAAGTAGATACGGCACATAATGTAGACTGTACTTACTGGTAGGATTAGTAACAGGTGCCCCAGCATCATTAGAAGAAGCAGCTGCTGTCTTTTTCTTTCTCTTCCTCTTCTTTGCTTCACCAGAAGCTGAAGGAGTAGACTCACCATCTTTATCAGTCACTGTATCTTCAAGAGGAGGAGAAGCTTCTACTGTTTAAAGAGACGATAAATCAACTACTTTTTGATACATCTGATGCTTAAAATAGAATATATTTCTAAATATAGAATGAGAGCATTTAGCATGAGTCCTAAAACAAATCACAAACTTATAACCAGTTAAAACACCTGCCCACGTGTTGTAATTTAGCCACAATGCAGAAAAGCAGTACGCCCATATTAACATGTATACCCATTGTATTACTGGGATCAATAATAATAATATTAATATTAGATATCGTACCAGTAGATGTGGTAGCGTCATCTTGAGTCTCAGTGATACCATTAACAGGAGCATCAGCAGGTGCTGTAGTATCAGTAGTTGCTGGTGTCCCTGTCTTCTTCTTTCTCTTTCTTTTTTTCTTGGCTCCAGTAGACGAGGAAGAAGTAGGAGGAGCATCTTCATCATCGGATCCCTTACCATCCTCTGTCTCTTGCTTACCATTATGTTCCTAATAGCGTGCGGTATTAGTAATCAAACCATCAGACCCATATCAAATAAATCAATATCAATATTAATATCAAGTTGATCATAAAACATGTCCATGCAACTCACCTCTTGTGGGATTGCTTCCTTCTCAACAAGAGAAGCCATGACAATGACCTTATAAATGGATAATAAGACAAACAATAATAATGATGATGATGATGAAAACACTTACAATATAGGCAGTTGCAAACAGAGAGAAATATAATCTGAACTGGAGTGACAATTAATGTGACAAATCCAGTTTTCAATATTATTATTTCTAATTTACCGAATACCCTAAATACTCTTTAAAAATACCGTAAATAACTAAATTATCTAATTAAGCGATCACCGTATCTCCTAAAATAAAGTATTTCGTAAAATCAAAGAGGGAGACGAGGATCAACAAGGAGGGACAGGAAAGTTTCTGAGGAAGAAAACGAGAGAGTGAAGGGCCGTCCTTAGCCAGTCTTTCATTTGAAGTGAGCAATTTTAAAAGCTTTTGATGAGTTGAGTACCTTTACTATTGACTCCAACCCTGTGGCTAATCTGGCTATATATACACATGTATAGTGTGTTATCATTATAGTTTCATTTGCCATTATTATTATTATTATTGTATATATTTTGAAGTATGAGGTGAATGTGTATTTAAGGATGATGGTATGTACTGATAAATAATCCAACTCTCTTGTTGTTGATCTGGAAATTGATAAAAACCAGTTAATGATATTATACATGGCACATATTGACTGTATGTATTGTGTTAATGAAACAATAAAATGGGAAATAGAGTTTAATAACACTCAATTATTTAGTTCCTGTTAAAAGATACAAGTCACCTATGACTTTAGTAATAATAATAATAATAGTTTATTCTCCAATACAGCACATGTACAGTGTAGTTTATTTGTGTTAATAAGCTTGCTGTGAATATTATAATTGATTCGTTTTATTTAAAATGATCTAAAACAATGGACAAAGGTTGGGACACAAAAGACACACATTCCTCTATTTGAAACAGATTTGCTTTTGCTTGTGAACATACATCATTCATGACTTTATCTCTAAGACTATAACTGATATATTCACACCATAATAATGCCTCCATACAATAGAATGGAACATTAATTATTTTAATAAGATAAAGACACCTCTACTATAGATGCATGTATGTACATGTACATGTAATACTGCTTAGGTCTCCATTTGTTCTAGGCCTCCTAAAAGTTCCCTCAGCTTTTGGTCTCTCATGTTTAGCCTAGATCTTTGTAACTCTCCCATTCATAGTTTAGAACTTTATTTCTCTATCTAACAATGCACATCATGTACAGAATTCATTGCAATCAATGTTTAGCATTAATGTGTGTGTGTGTGTGTGTGTGTGTGTGTGTGTCCTACAAGTAACCCACTTACTGTTATGTCTCCATTGTCTACTGAGAGTATCCATTGGTCTCTCTTCATGGTAACACCAGTTGATAGCCATCACAACACACTTTTATCAATTGCACTACACATTATAGTGCCTTCTACTCACAGCCCCTCCTTTAGTTTAGACAGGTCTACTACATTAAGAGTCTGGCAGAACTTAATTAATGTATAAAGTTAGTATTCGTCTTATGGAGGTCGTATATAATGATTTTCTTCTTGTCTGGCACTTTAAGATGGTGGAAATTTCTTTTTTAGCCTTTTTTCTTCAGAATACCCTACTACTCGCCCTAATTAACACACCTCTTGATAAATGATTACAAGTCTCAGGTGGTGCTGGTTTAGATAGGAACAATGATTATGAAATGCTCCAGGAGGTCCTTGTTCAAAGAGGTAGGTGGAGGGCGAAGTACACAATACATCACTAGACATTGGGACTCTCTTTCTGTTTACAATCCACCTCTCAAAAATGATTATCTTGGACCGGGACAATAGAAAGTTTTTACTGTGGAAGCAATGTAGAGATGCAATGTACAGTAATTAGGAAAGTGAGTTAAACTGTACTAGTTAGTGTTTGTGTTCCATTTTTTGAGTATGGCAATAATTAAGTACTGTCCTACAAATCAGCTGTATAGGGCATAGTGACATCATCTTGACACTATAGTCACTAATGACAGAGTGAGAACACTTATAGTACAAGACACATCATTAACTAATTATTAGTAAATAATAGCAATAATAATAATAATAATAATAATAATAATAATAATAATAATAATAATAATAATAATAATAATAATAATACTAGTTTTCATTTCTATTTTTCTTTCCCTATGGGCTTTCCCTTTTTGTCTCTCTTTTGTCCCCTGCATCGTGCATGATAATGATAATAATAATAATAATAAAAGCATTAAGTAGAGGTTTTTCTTGACACAACTCTTGATGTAGGTTAACATTTAAAATCACTTGAACTCTCTTGAATGAGAACTGAAACTGTATACTAATTGTGTAATTCATTCCATCAACATTGATACCAATACATGAACTCCAGGACTGTATCATTTGTCACTCTTCTCATATCCCTTCTGCACTCTACACTCTTTCAATTTCCTCCCCCCTCTCTCTCTCCCCTTCTCTCCCCCCCCCTCTCTCTCTGTAATAATTTACAGCTAAGAGTACATAATAATGTAGTTTATGAACATGTACATGTATAATTTAGATATTTGCATCACATGCATGCATGTACATGTTGTTGTAGCAGATGCTATAGTAAGTTAAGTATACTATAATCTAATTATCTTATTTATTTGTGTGTTGTGTGAATAAATAATTAATAATTATATTTTGTTTCTTGTCGTTTACAATAACGTTCTTATACAGTATGTAGTTTTTGCTTTAGATACTAATCGTTTGCCTTTCACTCGTGTGTATTTTTGATTTATAATGTGTATTTTCATTTTGCGGCACTTTCAAGCAGCTGTGGCCGGGTTTCATTTAAAATGTTGTTTTTCTTTGCCTAAATGGCCACTGTGTACAATATGTCAATAATGTTGATATTTTTGTGTCCATTGGAGCTTCTCCCTCTCTTCCTCTCTCTTGGGAAAACATCTGTACACAGTTGTATTGATCCATCTTATAGCACACCTACTGTATGTACAGGGTACTACCATATTAAGTACACTGTATTACAATTGTTGTATACATGTACATGTATTGATCCACCTTATAGTATGTACAGGGTACTATTATATTAAGTATTACAATTGTTGTATACATACTGATCCACCTTATAGTATGTACAGGGTAGTGAGGGTACTATGATATTAAATATTACCTTATTCATTTAGTGCTTTATCCCTTTATATGTACCTGTACCTACTGAACTACAGTACCTCCATGTCTTATAGTGCACTTTTTCTTTTAATTTGGTGAAGCTCTAGCTGGTGGAGTAGCTCTGTTTGTTTGTTTGTTTGTACATGTGTATCAGGGTGTGGGGAAAGGGCGGAGCTCCTTAATATTTTACATTCTTTTATTATTATTATTATTATTATTATTATTATTATTATTATTATTATTATTATCATTATTATTATTAATGTGGTTATTTTCTCTATTAATTTATAGGCGTGTGGTTGTGTCTGTGTTTATTATCCTCCTCCTCCTTCATTCCAGAGATATGGCATTACCAGAATTAAAAAGTACAATGTAAGATCTGATGTACATGTACATACATGTTGCATCTTGCATTAATTTTATTATTATTATTATTATTATTATTATTATTATTATTAACAATAATGTACTGATAAAATACAAACACCAAAAATAGTAACAATTAATTAGTATGAACTTCATAAAAATTATTATTTTATAATAAATTATATGCATACCAAGACACTAATATAAATATGGTTTTAAAATAGCACCGTGGCGTATTATTATTTTGAAAACTATTTTAAGATTAATGTCGTGTTATTTCTGTGACACTTTTAATGTATTTTGTTTCTCATTTCTCTTTCATGAGGCAATAAATGCAGCATATCATTCCAATGTATCAACATTACCTGTCCTCCTATTCCTCCCTCTGTAATGACATACCATTATATTTTTATTTCTTTATTACAATTGAGCTATTGTTGTATTGTCTATAGCTAGTACTAGTTGTGTCTCTTTGTTTAATAATGATTTGACTCACTGCTTTAATGGCAGTCTCCTTTTATTGATAGCGTCTTTATTTTGGGTACTTTTATTGTCTTAACATGTGCTCGTCAACTTTTAAAAAATTTTTTAAAATCCAATTTTGATTCGAATTTGTTTACATTTTCACACAGCATAAGAACATGTATATGTATCAGTAAAAAATTATAAAAATGGGGAATTCTCTCCTTGTCAATTTTGGTGAAATTTGGCTTGAGTAGTACAATGGGACTTTGGCCTGATTTTGGAGCAATTTTAAAAATTCATAAAAAATTGACCAGAATCAGCTCAAACTTTCCACACAACATTAGAACATCTACATGTATATGAATCAGGAAAAATTATGAAAATGATAAACTCTCTCCGATATATAAGATAAGAACATGTACATTTGTATATTTATAAGAAAAAATTATTAAAATGAAGAACTGTGTATGGACAATTTTTGACTACCCTGCGCTATGGGAACTTAACCAATGGCTTCAATGGATTTGGCTTAATTTTGGAGCAACTTTAAAAATTCCTATTTCATCAGGAGTAGATCAAATTCTCCATGCAACATAAGAACATGCATATGAAATCATAGGTCAGGGTTTTTAGTTTCATCAGAAATCAATAGGAGAAATATTTGAAGTATTTTACTACGGATGTTAATTTAGCATTTGTTTATAAATCATGACTAAATAATTGAATTTTTACAACAACTATTTACTACAGAATTAATGTCTCTTTCCCCCTCTCTCTCTCTCCCTCTCTCTCTCTTCCTCCTAGTTGGTATCATGGTAGGGTTGATAGACCCACGTGTGAGTCACTCCTGATAAGCAAGAGGCCTGGATCCTTCCTAGTAAGAGACAGTGCTACTTGTCTTGGAGACTATGTATTATCAGTAAGGTAAGAATAATAATAATAATAATAATATCTACAACTCATTAATTATTCATTGAAGCACACCCACACACAATTTATTAATTATAATTAATTAAGTCTGTTATTTTAATAGTGTTAAAATTTGATGGTTTAATATCAGGAAGCTGTTAATAAAATTTTGCCTCCTTCTTTCAACACGAGTACAATTATACATGTACATGTACATTGTGTAGCTATTATTTATGTTGCAGCTCAGCTCTCTCTTTTGTGATAGTTGATATCACTCATGTGCTCATATCCAGCATTGTACCAGAAACTAGATACATTTAGTAACTGACAGACTCATAGTAAGAGTGAATGAGGGGGGCGATTGGTGACACGTTTATGAATAGTTGTCTTTGAAGTTTCCAAGTATATGGACCAGTGGGTGAGGCAGTGACATACCTGTACAGTTGCTAAGACATATAGAAAGGGGAGAGAGGAGGGAGGAGAGGGAAACTGCTTGCTTTTAATAAGGGAAGGAGACATTGTTCTAAGATGAAAGGACTGGTATGAATGAGGTAGTTATGATATGTACAATAGTCTACCACCGGAGACTCTCTTCCTTCGTTGTTCATTCCACACTCTCTGCTCATGTACATCTCTTAATGTACTGAACCAATGGAGTATGTTGTTATAATCATTACCTACATGACAGAAATGCTATTGATGTCTGAGTCAATGTTTTTATTGCCCATTTGCTGTCAGCATTGAAGCTCAAACTTGATTTAAACAAAAAGGCATATATCACAACTAAGTACTAATTTTTGAAGACATTTCCTAGAAAAAATGGCTTTCACATCTGCACATGTACAATGTACATGCTTTTATCAAAAACTGGCATAATACATGTGTACATGTATTTGTATAAAACACCCTTTATACATGGGGGGTTATAACTACCATAGCCACTATTAGTTAGAGTGGTAGAGTTACTTTACAAAGGAAGAATGGGCTCACCAACATGTGTATGTGTGTGCATGTACACGTACTTGTGTGCTGTAGTGTTTATTTGTGTAGTATTCTCTCAAGTGTCATAAATTCGAGTTAAGTAGCTTAAAATGTGAAGTGTTGATTGTGTTTTGTTTCTGGTCGCATGAGCCGGTCGTAAAGGTCCTCGTTATCAAAATACATGAAAATTAACGTCACGATGGCTCATGAATACCATATTTGGTCATTGGGAGACCAATCGAGTGAAGTGTGACGAAGAAGAATTTAGTTAATTGGAAATATTGTAGGAGAGAGAGAGAGAGGGAGGGAGGGGGAGAGAGACAGAGAGACAGACAGACAGAGTTGTTACATTATGTATACATGTGTTGTGTGTGTTCAAATTTGTGTTTGTTGTCAGAATTAATATCTCTTATGTATCTTTAATGGATTACTTTGAAGTACATGTTGCTATGTTGTATTATTAGTATGCGACCGTAGAGTGTGGGAGTGTGCCTTGCATGTATGACAATGATACTATATGATTGTTACTGACATAGTGATGAACAGGGTCATAGTATTGACACTATTTATTGCTCTCTCTCTATGAAAACTGGTTGCATGCAGTTGTATTAAAACAAGAATTGGCAGAATTTATCACAGCACATCTATTAAAATTAATGCATAAGAGAATTTTAATAGAGAAGAAATAGACGATAAAATGTGCATAATATATGTTAGTCTTTTTCCTCCTTTATTGTACTAGTGAGAATAACAAAGTCAGTCACTACATTATATCAAGGAGAGGTCCCCTCTACTTGATCGGCGATCAGTCGTTTCAGGATCTCTTTTCAGTCATAGAGTTTTATAAGATGCACTTCTTGGACACCACAACACTCACAGAAGCAGTAAGGGAAGAGAGAGAGAGAGAGGGAAAAGAGAGAGGGGGGAGAGAGAGAGGGAAAAGAGAGAGGGAGAGAGAGGGGAGGGGAGAGAATATGAGTGACATAAATTTTACAAGAAAATACACAAGAATTATTATTGTTATTGAAGACACTTACTAATGTGAAGAAACTAAAGCTTCACATGCTGACATACATGTACATGTACACATCTTTATAACACTTACATGAATTATAACACTTATGTGAATTATTTTGCTAAAGACATGGACATCTGTCATTACTCTTCTTTCCTTTTAATCATATAAAAACTAAATATTCAATTTTTCATAGCCTAATCCAATAGCACGGTATATAATTATAACCTGTTCATGTAGCTAAAAACACAGCCTCAGTGACAGAGTGTTGTAACTATTAATTACTGCAAGCTAATGTGAACTATGGGAAAGTACATTACAATCCTTTCCTTCCTACCTATGTGTGCTAATTGGATGTAGGAAGTTTTTTTATTTGTATATATTTTTCTTGGAATATACTGTACATTGTTTCATTAGCATGTACATGTACACACAACAAACAATAATTATAACTTTACGATTTTAAAAGCCAGCATTACAAGTTTATGTGTACATGTAGTATATTATTTATTCGTGTTGTTGTTTTATTTGAGGTACCTCCTCCTGGTCGATCCTACCCTCCCCCTCAGTCTCACCCTCCCATTGCGGCTTCACCAATGACAGGACCAGTACACCCTGGGGTACTACCACCTCCGGAACAAGTAGTGGGTAGACTTGTAGTCCGAGGGAAATTCGAATTTAGATCAGTAAGCCATTGCATCATGTATATATTAAATGTATATGCATTTATGTGTACATAAAATGAATTATTTATATGTACATGTACATGTACATGTATGTTGATGCTTAAGTATCATTATGAAGAAGATTTAATGACTGAAAGGTGAACTGCAAGATTAAAAGGGCAAGCTATTGAAAGTGGTGCTTGTAAATGATCCATAGTGGCTACTATGAAAATGCAGGAACTATGAAAATGTAGAACATTCTCTAGCTCTTTGGTGAATTCCCTCTTTGCATGTGTAGGTGGGGGAGAGATAAGCTAAGAAGTCGTAAATTATTGGACAAATGATCCATAGTAAGATAAAGGAGGAAGTGGCCATATGAGTAGAAGGTCAACGAGACCTATTCATTAGCAAGCAAAACTGCTAATGTGCATGTAACTGCACTTTCTCTTTTATTCTCATGACCTTAAACGAATCAGTAGTTCCACTGTCTACTGTGCTTCCCTCTACGTTACATGATGTGCATGTTAAATTTATAATAATTAATGAATGCTCCACTTTTTTAGAACGACCCAGAGGATCTTCAATTCAACAAAGGTGACAAGATGATTGTCATTAGAAAAGACGAAGACGAGTGGTGGTTTGCTCAGCACGAGGACGGGAGACAAGGAGCTATTCCTGTACCTTATGTTGAAGTGGTAAGTTTTGTACTTAAATATATTTTTATATTACAAAAAAAATTATTCCTATCTACCTTTTTAGGTGGAAGAGCAGCCACTTAAAGCTAGGGCATTGTCTGATAGAGATTGTCCTTATGATCCTACAGCTTTATCATTCAAGGTAGAGAAACATAATAATAAGAAAGAAATATACCGTCATTACCCTGATATGTAACAATTATATCACCTATAGTACATGTAGGTCGTCACAATGATAGATGATAACTGAGACTCTATATAGATAGATGTACTTGTACTTGTACTGGTACTTGTACTTATACTGGTACACATACATAACATACAATGTATGTACATATGGATGGGTGTACTGTATATGGATGTGCATGTGTGTGTTCCTCTTCGTGTTCTTTGTGTCTTCGCATTTTAATTGGAGTTGTTATCTTGTAGCGACACAGTGACACAATCTATCAGCATTCCATGAATTTCCATCACACAATGATGTGAGATTTAGAGTTTATTTTAGGACTAGTGATTCTAGTAATGGTGATGAGCATGAATTACATGGACATTGTGTAATATGTATACATGTACATATATGTACAGTAGTAGTAGCAGCAGCAGCAGCGGCCTTATCTGTACATGTACATATACTGTACCTATACTAGTCAATTGGTCTACAACTGAAGTCATTGGTTACAGTACAGTCTATGATGTGTCATGATGTGAGTATATCCTAAAGTGTTGAATGTTGCACTTTGTATCAGTTTAAAGAGCAATAAATCAATCCTTGTACCTTCTATTGTTACAATTAAAAGTTGCAAACACGTACTGTACATGTAGCTAGAATTTTTAAAATTTTTAAATGCCAATGCCTTTCGGGAAATATTTTAAAATTTTTGTTTTGGTTTTGTGAAGCTATATTCAGTACAATAAAAGTGCAGTCTATGTAGATTCTTTATCGTAATGTGATTAGCCTGTCCTTGACACTATTAGATTACCAGCATTTGTGCTTCTGCATTCTACTTCGCATCATCATTTTATTTATTTATTTATTTTAATAATATACATGTGAGAACACTTATAGAAACTTGTTGTGTACATGTACACTACATTACTGATAGTACAATAGTCGCAGCAATATCTTATCTCTAGTTTGGGGATTTACTTTCATTTCATTTCCTTTCTCTCCGGACACCTTACAAACAACAGTAAATATAATATGCTCATGGCTTCAGGTATTTATTATTTTACTGGCTCTAACACTAGTGGATGTACTTACTGTCTCTAACACTAATGGATGTACAAGTACAATTGTGCATGTACATGTACATGTGACATCCATTACTCATATTATTATAATGGGATAAGGTAGACTAAGAGTGTGTGACCATAGACCAGCTAAATTCTATCAGGCATTTATCCAAAGCTCTCCACAGACTCCAAGACTCTGTATAGATGGTATACATTGCATACCTGCACAGTGAGAGAGAGACTACTGCTGTAGTATTGTGTTACTATTTCACTTGTACTACTACTGGCATTCTGTGGAGCGTCATAGCCAGCACATCACTAAATACACTACTCCAGAGTGACTTGAATTGAAGAATGTCGTATAATAATGAACTATACATTTACCGTAGGCTGTTTAATTGTCCATATTTGTCCTTTAACATATGTACGTACTCTAAAGATTAGAGAAGGACTGTGCTTGCTTCCTTTACGATGAGGATACATTAAAAGCGTCTGTACTATAAGGATATTGAATTTATGTCTTGAATTCTTGATATGTGTCACTCATTTTCGCATGACCCACAAAATCCTATTAACATTATGGATGTTGGAACTTTATGGTTCACATATTGTTCCTGGACCGGCCTTGTCCTCCCACTCTAAACATTTTTATTGATATCTCACAGGGCGTGTGTAACCTCAGTGGTGTACATGTACATTTTGTTTTGTGTTTTTTTTATGAATGATGTTCTGTGATTATTGTCATACATGCAAACATTTACAAATGAGGGATTTTGTTGCCAAAACTGATCTTCATGCTTTTATTATTTTCTTCTCTCTCTCTCTCTCCATTTTCCCTCTTTGTTCCTTTGTTTCATTAGAAAGGAGAAATAATCAAAATACTAAAAAAGAATGATAATGGGATGTGGGAGGGCGAGACTTCAAGCGGCAAAAGAGGACACTTTCCTTTCAAATTAGTAGACCTAGTCTGATGGTAGCGGCCATTTTCAGACTCATGATTTCATTAGTGCAGTTTGATTCATTCTTCTTCTCTTCTTCTCTCTGCTTCCTCCTCATCCTTTCCCCCCCTCTCTCTCTCTCTTTGCTCTTTCTGACTTTTAGTGATAATTTTATAATGTCTTCTAGTGTGCAAATCTCTCTTTACTGCCTTCTCATTTATGTGGCAACCTGATTTATGATTATGATTATTATTATTATTATTATTATTATTATTATTATGATCATTGTGATTCTTATTATCATTGTTTTTTGTCATTTTGCTATACTATTAATCTCTCACAACTATTAATCTCTCAAAACTTTTTCACATCATTTTATTTGATAGATAATACTGTAGATCCTGGTAAATTACAATGAAGAATACGATACATGTATGTTGTCATGGTTACAAGTCATTATTAATGTTAATAAGCCATTATAAATAAGAGCACTGCTGCAACTGCAAGTTAATTTTATGTTTCTCGTGTCGCTTAACTGAGTTAACTCGCTTTGAGGAAGCAGAAATGGAGAGAAGGTCGAGTAGTGCTTTATTTCTGGTGTCAGTCTTATTATACTTGCAAGGCGTACGAGCTGAAGGGGGTATACTGTATGCTAATTCAACTAACCTAACTCTTTACCAGGACAAGTAAGCAATATAATAATGCTTTGTTTCTTTTCTTAAATCCTGCGGGGGGCGGCTAGTCCTGTGTTTAGTCTAGCTCAAACCGTACCCGCCATTATGCATGCAGGCTGCACTTTCCCTCCATTTTGTTTGTGGGTCAATGGGCTGCCTAGTCTGCCTTAGCTGTTCCCCGCTATAATATCTATGCCTAGAATAAATTAACTCGCCACTGCTAATAATACTTTGTGTAACAGTACAGTCATTGTCTTGTTGAAAGCAAATGCAATAGACCATGGAATGTTTTGTTTCTAACCCTATACAAGTCTATAGTATGATATGATCAACACTCAGAAAACACATCATTGCTCGCTAAAAGCAAACTGACCTTACTTGATAGAATGCTTTTTTTACTTTTATACCAACTAAATATTGTGCAAGTATCTGATGTGGTTGTGTATGTGTTGATATTCACTATTGGGAAGGAACGATGGGTCATGTAATAGTCTATGAATGATAATGGCCCTCTATTGAAAACTGACACCTCTTTCCCTTTGCTGTTACCTGTGAGAGTGTATTGTTGATTCTCACGATTAGCCTGAGGTATCATGCAGACTTCTATTCATTAATTGCAAGGCATGTTCATCATTGATTGATGCTGCTTCTCTATCACACCTCTCTCACACACAAACAACCCTAGCAATGGCATTTCGGCACAATTTAGTGTAAATTCATTTTCACTTTATATGTATACTGTGGAGCTTCCCCACTTTATTGTTATTGCAATACAACTGATTCATTCTTTAATAGCTCCCACTCATCTTTATAAATTCCTTATTCATACAAGAACTAGCTTGTACATTAAAGAATTGAAAGCTTTCTTTAGCCAATGACTCATAATGGCAGAACTAACAATTCTCTTTAGTTGGCATTAGTATTTATAATAATAATGTGGGGGATGCTTAGTTATTATTGCCTTCTGAGAACAGTATTTTAATTTATCTATGCATCAAAAGCCACTTCACTCTGATCCTGTTTTGACAGTCACTGGCTTTACAAAGAAAAGGGACAGGATGCTTCTGAGCCTTTAGTCTAACCCCTAGCCCTCCTGCTAGTCTTGTAACACGATATATGTCATCCCTTGCCTGTCTGACTCTCTGTCTGGACTTTCTGATTCTAATCTTAATGACAACCGGTGTAACATGTACATGTACACGTAACATTAATTGGTGTACATGTAACATTAACTGATATGCTTTTTGGACCTTTGTCATGTTTTGGGCATGTTAACCCTCCGAGTTATTGTATTGAGAGTTTGCTTTGGGAGAAAGCACCAGAGCTACAGTATTGATAACTATTTCTACGCTCCATTAGCAATGATGGGCTATTGATCTTCAATTCCTGGTATTATATGAATCAGATCTCCCGCATTAGTGATGCATGACATAGCAATAACTATTGATTACATGCTCACTGGGTTGAGTAATGGAGGGAGAGAGAATAAGGGCTGTACTATACATATTTACTTTATAGTAAAGGAGGATATAGCATACTAGTACACATCTTGCTTTGTCTCTGTCTCCCTTGTTTCTTTTCAAGACATCTCATCAAAAAAAATATGTTAAATGCTACCAATTTTGTACAAGTCACTAGCTTCACAGTAAATGAGATTAACAGTACAAATAGGGACTTCTTGTCTCACAATGGAACTGATGATGTCATGACACCTCAAGTTGTTGCTTAAATAGGGTATAGCATCTGTAGTCTGTTGCATCAACTGTTGTGAGTGGGACATTGTCAGAAAGGATATCTTATTGATACTGTTAGTAGTAAGTAGTGTAGTATTGCTGTTAGAAACATTTATAATATAGTTTTAGAGTAAAAGGATAAACCCTTTATGTAATAGTAATACTCTTGATATGTATATTACTGATTGATAGCAGCAGCTTATTTCGTGTGATAGGAATCAGTTTTATGTGTCATTAGATCAAAGGAATTGAAAGGATTGATGATTTGTAGTAGCACTCACACACCCACACATTCTAGAAATATTATTTTTACTACAGACATTGATCATTATATTCTCTCTGTCCCCTTTAGTCCATTTCGTGTGGCATTTTTAGCAAGGCTTAGAGTGGTGTGTCCAGATCTAGATTATGGTCTTTATAGAGTGAGCCAAAAAGGATATAACAATTGCTCTAATGATGGACAACAATTGATTGGTAAGTCTATAGCCTCCTATGCTAGACCAAGTATGAGAGACCAAAAGTCTTCTAAACTCCCTCTAGATCCAACAGTGTGAAAGTCTATGTGATATTATCATTTTCTTACAGGTCATTGTGGTAATACTGGGATACTCAGTGAAATCATTTACTCTGTCCCACTGTCTGGTGGTTTAGCTTGGGAGGTTGACATGACTTATTATTTGATTTTTAAATACACTGCTAATGAAAGTCCTGCTCCTTGTGATGAGGGATATAAATTCAAAGTTTTCGTCTACGATCCAAGAAGTACATGTATGTTAATGCACGTTACGTTAATACTGGATGATTGCATCATGTGTGTATTATTATTAGCTCTAAATAAGATACTTTGTAAAGATAAACTTGCTTATCTGTTTCCATTAAATGATAGCGTACGTGTTTCCTTATTTGCTTTCAAGATGTTTTTATCGTTTGATATTTATGTTTTCTATTTGTTGATATGCATTTAATATACAATTAATGCAAAATGCAATCACTGCTATGCGTACATCAGTTTCCTACTATTAACTTCCTCCTATAGTTCGGTTTCCTACATTGCATTTAATCTTGAATTCTCTTTTTTTAATTTACAGCTGTAACTCCTACCCCTACTGCTATGCCCATGTCTTCTTCTTCTTCTTCTTCTTCTTCTTCTGTCGTAATCTCTTCAAGTTCTTCTTCAATCCTCTCTCAGTTGCTGACTCCTTCTCTTTCACAGTCAAGGATTCACACAGTGTCTCCTTCTAGTACTGAGACTGTTACTAGACCTACTCGTGAACAATCATCTTCTTCTACTTCTAGTGTTGAAATAAAATCAACAGAGGTTCAAGCAACGTCAACAAGACCTACCCATACTCCTACTATATTTCCATCAACTGGTAAGTACTATTTTAATGCTATCAAACTAATGATCATAATTATACTATTATATCGATAATTTTTATACTATTATATCGATAATTTTCTACAATGTTACTATTAATTTCATGTTGTTGTTGTTTATATTATAATGTCACTATTTACTTCTTTTATTTCAGCTACTATTTCTGGTGCAGCTAGTACAACAGCATCATTGACTCTTGCATTATCATTATTGGCACTATTATTGATCTTACTCTTATGAAGTGTGTAAAATAGAACAATTAAATTGAGTCATACACACACACGTGCTCTCTTGTCCAGGTGTTCTGATCTGTGTTTTGTATGGAGACATATGGTGGATAGCATCTGTGAAATATATATCTTATACATCTGTGTGTATGTGGTTTGAAGTCTATCTCTTACTGTGTGTTGAAATAGTATTTTATGTTTATTACCCAATTCTTGTTATGTATTATATATATATTATTATTATTATGAATCATTTTATTTTTTAACCAATGCACTAACATGATTATTATACATTACATTCATTTATTTTAACATTTATTGAAATAAAACAATAATTATTACTATTAGAAAGGAAGATGACATAGTTATATCAGATTTTAAACCATGGAGGCATTAATTAAAGTATTTTAAAGCAAATAGTTAGCGTCTTGAGTGTCTCACAAATAATACCGGTAATAATAATAAGAGATTTAGTACACATTCATGAGTTGATATAAAAATAAAATTGAGAATTAGCCTAAAATAATAATAATAATCATAAATTGTTAAAACGACTCCAGATCATTGTCGTAACCTGATTTATGATGATGATGATTATTATTATTATTGTAACAGTAATTCTTATTATCATTGTTTTTTGTCATTTTGCTAGACTATTAATCTCTCACAACTATTAATCTCTCAAAACTTTTTTCACATCATTTTATTTGATAGAAAATGCTGTAGACTATACACCATTACTCCTGGTTAGTAAAAATTACGTGTTGTCATGGCTACAAGTCATTGTATACAAATTTGAATAAGCCATTACAAAAGCAGCACTACTGGAACTGGAAGTTAATTTTATCTGTCTCGTGTCGCTTAACTGAGTTAACTCGCTTTGAGGAAGCAGAAATGGTGAGAAGGTTGAGTAGTGCTTTATTTCTGGTGTCAGTCTTATTCTACTTGCAAGGCCGAGGAGCTCACGGGGGGATACTGTATGCTAATTCAACTAACCTAACTCTTTACCAGGAGAAGTAAGCAATAATAAATATTATTTTCGTTTCTTATCTTAATCTGTTAATCATGAAACTTGTTTCTTATCCTATCCTAGTATCCTGTGGGCGCGGCGCGATCGCGAGGGGCTGGCTGGTACTGCCCATTTTCTTTGGCGTGCCCGCTGCAATGAATTCAATATGGCCGATAATAGATGATTTGTAGCACCCACACATTCTACGAATATTATTTTTACTACAGCCATCGACAGCCATTTATCATTATATTCTCTCTGTCCCCTTTAGTCCACTTCGTTTGGAATTGTCAGCAAGGCTTAGAGTGGTGTGTCCAGATCTAGATTATGGTCTTTATAGAGTGAGCCAGGAAGGATATAACAATTGCTCTAATGATGAAGAAGAATTGATTGGTAAGTCTATAGCCCATGGGGGAGTCCTATGCTAGACCAAGTATGAGAGACCAAAAGTCTCCTAAACTCCCTCTAGATCCAACAGTGTGAATGTCTACATGATCTTATCATTTTCTTACAGGTCATTGTGGCAATAGTACTGGGATAGTCAGTGAATTTATTTACTCTGTTCCACTGCCTGGGGGTTTAGCTTGGGAGATCGACATGACTTATTATTTGATTTTTAAATATACTAATAATGGAAGTACTGCTCCTTGTGACGATGGATATAAATTCCAAGTTTTTGTCTACAATTCAACAAGTATGTTAATGCACGTTACGTTAATACTGGATGATTGCATCATGTGTGTATTATTATTAGCTCTAAATAAGATGCTTTGTAAAGATAAACTTGCTTATCTGTTTCCATTAAACATGTTTCCTCCATTTGCTTTAAAGATGTTTATATCGTTTGATATATTTGTTGATATGTGTATAATGTACAATTAATGCAAAATGCAATCACTACTATGTGTACATCAGTTTCCCAACTATTAACTTCCTCCTATAGTTCAGTTTCCTATGTTACATTTAATCTTGAATTCTCTTTTTTTAATTTACAGCTGTGACTCCTACCCCTACTGTTATGCCTATGTCTTCTTCTTCTTCTGTCGTAATCACTTCAAGTTCTTCTTCAATCCTCTCTCAGTTGCTGACTCCTTTCTTTTCACAGTCAAGGATTCACACAGTGTCTCCTTCTAGTACTGAGACTGTTACTGGACCTACTCATGAACCCTCTTCTTCTAGTACTAGTGAAATAGAAACAACAGAGGTTAGAGCAACATCAACAGGACTAATCAATGTAAATCCTACTCCACCTACTGTGCAACCATCAGTTAGTAGTAAGTACTATTTTAATTCTATCAAACTAATGATCATAATTAGTACTATCATGTTGATAATTCTGTAGAATTTATTATTTATGTCATATTGCTGTTTATATTATAATGTCACTATTAATTTTATTTCTTTTATTTCAGCTACTGTTTCTGGTGCAACTAGTACAACAGCATCATTGACCCTTGCATTATCATTATTGGCACTACTATTGATCTTACTCTTATGAAGTGTGCAAAATAAAACAATTAAATTGAGTCATACACACACACACGCGTGCTCTCTTGTCCAGGTGTTATGATCTGTGTTTTGTATGGAGACATATGGTGGATAGCATCTGTGAAATATATATCTTATACATCTGTATTATATTATTATAAATTATTTATTATTTAACCAATTCACTAACATGATTATTATACGTTACATGTTCATTCATTAATTTTAACATTTATTAAAATAAAATTACTAAAAAGAAAGAAGTACATAGTTATATCAGATTTCATCACCATGAAGGCATCAATTAAAATGTTTCAAGTTTTTAAAGCAAATAGTTGTCGGTACTAGCATCTGAATGTCTCACAAATAATAATAATAATAATAATAATAATAATAATAATAGTCCTTAGTGTATTTTATTGTGTTGTGTTATATAATAATAATAATAATAATAATAATAATAATAATAATAATAATAAGAGATTTAGTATACATTCATGAGTTTCATAATATAAAACAGAATAAAATTGTGAATTAGCCTAAAATAATAATAATCATAATAATTTATTATTAAAACAACTCCAGATCATCGTCGTCCTCTTGCTCGTTCATTTGTATGTATTTACTGATGTCATCAGTTCCCATGGCATCCACTCCGTCTTTTCTTTCCTTCTCATCGTCAAACAGTGACGCTCCAAGAGGTTTCTGGACACTCTTTGGCTTCGGTTTCTTCTTCGGTTTCTCGTGAGCAACTTTGAGGACGTCGTCCAAAGTACCCACACTGGACAAGGACGAAAATAAATATAAAAATAATAATCGAATTTTAATTCCCAAAATAATAATAATAATTGTCAGTGAGTATTGCTTCACATTACTTTAATAAATCAGAGTGATCCTCTATTTCAGTGAAGAGGGTATTGTCCCCTTCTCTCTCGTTTTCTCCAGTTTTAAGTATCGACATGTTCAGCTCAGGATCATCATCGAGGAGCGTCATCTTTGCAGTTCTTACAGTAGTTGTGCTGGTGGCTTCATCATCAAGCAGGTCTAATCACAGTATCAGAAATGGGAATAATCATTCTTAAAGTTGTAACAAAAATTTACGTCCTAAATGTACCAGGGTATTTTGTCAAAAATGGTTTCAAGAGAATTCTCCATTTTTATAATTCTTTTCTAACACATGTACACGTTCTTATGTTAAATGTCAATTTTGAAATGATTCCGATCAAAATTGGATTTTTTACGAATTTTTAAAAATGCTCCGAAATCGGGCCAAAGACCCTATACTATAGTACAGGGTCTCGAGCCAAATTTCGCCAAAAATGACTAGGAGAGAATTCTTTATTTTTATAATTTTTTCTTATACATATACATGTTCTAATGTTGTATATCAAGTTTGAACTGATTCCAATCAAATTTGGATTTTTTACGAATTTTTAAAGCTGCTTCAAAATCGGGCCAAAGACACTATACTATTAGTAACGTGGTAGCGTTACTAAGTAGGATTCACCCTCAAACAAAATGGCTGCCACGACTTTTGCAGCCTTTAGTACAGGGTCTCAAGCCAAATTTTGCCAAAAATGACTAGGAGAGAATTCTTAATTTTTATAATTTTTTCTTATACATATACATGTTCTAATGCTGTATAAAGTCCCTGTACTACAATCTTATAGTATATAGTACAGGGTATTTGTCAAAAATGGCTCAAAGAGAGTTTTCTATGTATAAAACAAATTTTAGCTTCTACCTCTCCTTCTCCCCTTCACTTCACTCAATTCGAACCTCTTTCAGTGGATCTATTTGTTTTCTTTTCACTCGTAAAATCAGTAAACAAATCCTCGTCATTGTCCTCAAATAATTTATCCTCAGCTCCGCCAGTTGTCTTCTTCTTTTCGCTAAACAAATCTTCAGGCTCCTCCTCCTCCTTTGTCACTCCACCTTTACCCGAAGTTCTGGGACCTCTAGACTCCAAATACTCTGCCCGTCTCTTCTTATACTTCCTGTCAGCGAGTAGGTCAATACCCAGGAACTCTAGCATCGGTATGCTAGTCGTGAGTTCAACACTTCGTGAGACGATTATCATGAGACAATCAAAAGAGACTCGTCTGTCTTCAAGGTCCTCGTCGGACATGAAGAGGATGTGTTTACGAGGTAGATCGGGGAGTTTGAGGGAAGGGAACTGCTCGAGTAGCTCCTTTTGAAGTTTCTCAAACGAATTGTAATCTCTTGGAACCTGAGAGAAGAATAATAAGATATGTTAATAATCACTACATGATTCGTGACATTATTAAAACAGTGGCGTTTGGATACTTCTAAAAGGATGATATTTGAAAAATTCACAGCTGGAAAAAACAAATATTTTAGCATTTTCATACACTTTGTGCAAATAAAATAATTATATAAATTTAATTCCATTTTGTATGGCTTGTGATGTGGAGACAATTTCTAACCATAAACTGGACGATGTCTTCTTCACTGTGCTCTGGGAGCTTAAAGTGAGGGAGTTTAGATATGACGACAACATGATAGTCTTTCACGTTACGGGCTGAGCTGGCCTTCTGGTAACTTGGTACGTTAATGTCAGTCCCAGTTTTAACATTTTTCAATTCCCTATGGTACATAGAGAGAGGAAAGGGTTGAGTTTTTTCAAATTGAAAGCAATTTATGAGTACCTTTTAGTAACAGTAACAGGCATATTTTAGAATTCCTAAATCTAGAAAAAGCTGAAAAAGGGGATAACTTTTGTGTTTTGGACAACGCCCACAACTAGGGCGTGGCTGACACGCCCACGCATCATGTGACTGGTTAAATTTAAATAATAACTTTTTATAACTTGATAGTCTATTAAATAATTGTTAATTAGGCTTAACTAATATTAATTCAGTTAATTAATTCTGACTCCTCCCCTTAGCTTTTGTGGATTTCTGTTACCACTAGACCAGAGATCGATTTTCTCTTGCACCTTTTCACTATGGATCGTTTCCCTGCTAGTTCTCTCAAGCTACATTTCTCCTCTCATGACTTAGGCCGGGTATTCAAGATATTTACGATACTAAAGTACCTCATCTCCCCCTGCAACCGGATCCTACTCTTCCAATCCAACAAGAGACGGGCTTTCGTCTCCTCGGGGAAGGCACTCACTAAAGATGTCTCCCTCTTCGTATTTATAGCATATAATATATTCCTTTTTGTAAGTCATTAGGCTATTTGAAGCACCAGTAGTGCATCATTGATTAATTTGCTTGTTGTTGGCCTCTTTGCTTTGTGTATGTGCTGTAATGATGCTTGATATTTCTATGGGTTTTGTTTCCCCATTGGACAGTCTTTTCACGTATACAGTTACATTAGATGTGCCTGTACGTGATTGAAATGTGACACATTTGTACCAGAAAGGAAAGCAAGAGCTTCCTTTTCAATAGTATGAGTATGTCATGGCTGTGATCTCTGTTAGATTTCCTATTTTCAGTTAAGGCTGTCATTATGACTGGCAGAGAGAGTATACTTTGTAGTCTTCCAGGAACTATGATTGGTTTATTTTTTTGCCTAAATGTATTATTGGTTTATTTATGCCTAAATGTCTTGCTTTACTTTTTTATAATAAAGCTCTCTCGGCCATTTTTTATACTTTTCTTGTCATTCTTTTTCATTTTTACAGGTCATAGGTTTTGTATGTATATTAGCAGGTGTATCTCTGTATGTTATGCATAAATATTCTAAAGGTAAGTTATAAAGACATCCTGGTATCATTTTACATCATGTATTGTTATTACTATCCACTTGACACCTGCTAGGCTGTGCTAGCTTACCTTGCATGTGCTGTACATGTGCACCTGCTCAGTAATTAAAATAATTATTTTAATTACTGAACAGGTTTAAAAAGATGCCAGAAAGTTTGTTATCTTTTAACACATATGCATTGCTTATGCCTGGCCCACTGTTTGTCACTCCACTCTATAGCACATATAGCTGTAATGTGGCAGTTATTCCTAATCTATACACAACCACATTCTTCTTGTTACATGTATAGTGTTAATTATCATTGTTTACTGAACCTTATAAAACTCTCTCCCTCCCCCACTCTCCTCTTCTATTTCTCTCTCTCCTTCTCTCTTCATCAGTTCACACATACTTGTCTCTAGCCACTATCATGACTCTTGCTGGTATATCAGTATTAGTAATGTCACTAGTGGGCTTTGCTGGGGCCACAACCGTCAAAAGAAGAACACTCAGACTAGTGAGCTTTCATTCTGTCCACTCACACATATGTATATCTCATTAATGAGATTCATAAATGAAATATAACATATATAACACACTGATATGGGTCACACCCTCCACCTCGGATATCAATTCCCATATTGTTATGTTATATAAAGCACACAGATATATATATATATATATATATATATATATATATATATATATACATTTGTAGTTTTCTTTGATAATGCATATATGATAATAGTGTACCTTTTCAAAGCCAAAAATATCAGTTTAGACTGCGCATGTACGTGTACAATTTTTTGGAAAAAGTGACATGAATTGCTTAATTTTTTATTCTTGCCTCTGCTGTATGTATGTACACAGTAATGACCTTTATGCTTGTTTTGGCTTATTGTTGCCAATATTGATAACAACTGATTGGAAGAGATTTGTTTCTTTGTTTTATGTTATGGTCTACTGCCCACAAAACCCTGGGGCATGCATTTATGACTAGTCTTTGTGTTTATGTGTTGTGTATATGTACATGTACACATGTGTGTGGTAACTGATTGTCATGAATCCTTTTAAAGTGATGAATATTTGATGTAGCATTTATGGCCATTTCTATATTTAGTAATTCTTTATGTTCTATTTTTAGTATCTTGCCCTGGCTCTCATTGCAGTGATTGTAGCGTTGGCTGCCACATTCGTATTATTCAAAATGTCGTTGATAGTAAGAGAATGATTGTGTCATTCACTTGCATGTTTGTTTGTGTGATAGTCATGTGCATGTCGTCAAGAGTAGACTATGTCTTGTATGTTGGAAATATAAACATGTAAATCAATCAATAAACTGAGCATGTTTAGATGCACATTCTGTAGTTTCAGATTGAGTATCATACTTGTTCCAATTAATGCACTACCTCTCTAAACAAGCACCTCCTGGAGCATTTCATGATTGTTCCTATCTAAACAATGCATCACCTGAGACATCCAATTATTTATCAAGAGGTGTGTTTAATTGGGCATGGAGGGTTTAATTGGGCATGGGGCGAGTATGGTATTTACTATGTCCCCATATTGTGTACTAACACAATATGGGGGCATCCTGAATCACATTGTTTTAGGACTTGTACACTAGCTGTCTTAATAAGCTTCTTAAGAATACATGTACATGTACATGTACATGGTTTTTGTGTGTACGTGATTATTCTCATACCGGGTCTCAGATTTCAAAAGCCCGTGTTTGCATACATAGATGTATCACACCATACAGTATATTGATTGGATTATCCCTCCTCCAATTATCCTTAATAGAGCAGGACGAACATCTTATTGCTCTCCTCTGATCTTATCAAGGCTTACAGGCATGCATCTGATGATCAACAACACTCTCCATTCATAAATGGCATTGTAGACTTTGTACAATCAAAGGTAATAAAATCAGCTCATTTTACAGCAATACTCTTTCAGCTGTATTCATTACAAGTCCTATGCTTGGAATGTTTATGAAGTATTTCATGATAGTCATAAATGTACACTGCTTGAGTGTGATATTTTCTTTTCATCATTTTTCTCTTTCTTTTTTCTCTTCTCTTCTCTCTCTTCCCTTTCTTACTTTCCTTACCATTAGAGCGGTTGCTGTGGTGCAAGAGGTCCAATCGATTGGGCACTCCTTAATTCTATGTATATAGAGAAGCACGACAGTCTCCTGCCAGATTCCTGTACATGCAACATAAGTAATAACCACGAGGTCTGTAAGAGGGTAGTTCTACCATATAGAACGAGTAGAAGATGGTATAGACCAGTCAATGAATCAGTTTGGTCTGTGGTAAGTGAGAGAGAGAGAGAGAGAAGAGGTGGGGAGATTTTTTTTTTAATTGCTAAGAGGCTGGTGATCAAGTATTATAGAGAATTCTTTACAATAGGGTTGTGGTGATAAGTTTTTAACAAGTTTAAGTGAATTCAGATCAACTGCAATAAAGTGCATCGTCGCTTTGGTATTGTCTCAGGTAAGATCGATTATCAACCCACCCCAATATCTTATTGTAACATTATTTACATCTAGGTCAGTATAATCTTTATTACTGTGTATCTATTGCAAAAAAGAAGAAAAATCGAAGTATCCAGTTACTCATCTACATGTAATTAGAAATGTTATTGTCATTTTTGTTTCTCTTTCTTTGTGTTGACAGAAAAACTAAAAAAAAACATTTTTATTTATTAAAATTAATTCCGTCCATTGAAACGTTAGTTAACTATTATGGGCGTAGCCCACACAATTGGGTGTGGTTTGATAAGGCAAAAATCAATCTGAGGATCACGTTGAAGACTTGTAGTGAACTATAAAGATAAAAGTTAGCTGGTTGCAGTCATGGCCATGTCTGTTGCTAATACACTAAAGCGGCACTCGTTTCATGCTTCGCTAGGTCTCGTCATAGATAACCCGAGACTCCTTATAGTCGTGAGTACCAGCAATTTATAAGAAACGATTTCTATGTATATATATATTATGACAATATTTTACACTGTGTTATGCATATCTATTAAAATTTGGGTTGATATCTTTTTTCTGATCTCTCTTATTTCCTTTTCTTCCTCTCTCTTTCTCAGGAAGAACATAAATATTATAATAATTATAAGTATTATATATGTTGTGTGTACATGTACATGCACATCAATATTCGTGATACGTTCATAAGCTGGATTACATGTTGTTGGCTATTGCAAGTAGTGTCATTATGTTTACTGTTTACAGGCACAGACTGCCATAACATTATCCAAGGCCTGTGATAATATGAGCTCATAATAATGATAATCATAATAATAATAATGATAATGATAATAATAATAATAATAATAATAATAATAATAGGCAAATTATAACTGCTTTATTATCATCAGACGAGAAATAAGATTGATGCATTTTATTTGCTTATGCACAACCACTGCATATTTAAATAATTTCACTTATGTTATTCTTACTATAGGAACTTTTGAGAAGGAGAGAGAGAGAGGTAGAGAAAGCATATGTTCTTCTTGTTCAATAATGTGTTGTACAATTGACCATTGACCTTGATAATTAACCATAAAGCATATACCCAGACTACTAATTTAAATTGATAAAGTGACTAGTCTTTGTAGTAGTAACAGTATAAGCTCCATGCAGCTCCTTGTGATAACTCGTAGTATAATTATGAATACCAATGAGACACTATTTTACACACACACACACATGCACACATACATTTGTGATGTATATGCATGTGTGAAAATTTGAGCTTATATTAGTGATAGCTGGTTTTGAAAACTGTTTTAATTAAGTGACTTGTGTAGTCTATAAGCCATAGTTTATGAGAGAGAGTGTGTGTCTACCTTGAGTTATTGATATCTTTACTAATGTATACAATACTAATCAGTTCAGTAGTCATTGCAATGAAACACTCCTTGACATGGTTAGTATGTCACTGATTGTTTATGAAAGTAGGTGATCTTTGAAAGCTTTTGCCTACAAACATAAGAACATGTATATGCATCAGAAAATGCAATAAAAATGGAGAATCCTATCCTTTTCATTTTAGTCAAATTTTGCCCTAGACCATGTACTATAGTACAGGGACTTTTACCAATAGAATTTTGACTATCTTTTGGATTAGGCAGAGCACAATTGATAGTGTGGTAGATTTGATAGACTTTCTCTTGTAGGAACACTATGAGACAGTTCGTGAACAAATTGATGTCTTACTAAGAAGTGCTAAGGTAAAGTTTACCACATGCATAATAGCATTGTGAATACGTACACCTTATATCATGTAATCAGTGATACTGTGCACTCGGCCTGTGTTTTGGCAATTGGCTGATAATTGTTTATTGATGGCTGATACCTGGCCACCCACTTTAGTAATAATAGCTAACATTCACTCCTATTTGTATGCGTAGATGTACAGTGTAACTAAATGTCAAATGTATTTGCAATATACAGGGGCTATTGGGGCTAGTCAAGAAGAGGATATCCTTAGAAAAGGATCGGGTCAAATCTCTCGGGAAATTATCGTCTTCGATACTTGATGATTGTAAATTTATCAGCTTTGAAGGGTAAGAGAGCTAAATGATATTTGTGATCTGATTTTTTAAAGTCCACATTATTGATAAGCATTATCATATTAAAGTGTATCTAATTATAGAAGTGTGGCTAATTAAAGAAATGTGTTCAATTATTGTTTAGGGTTTTGAAGGAGAGTTGGGATCACATAAAGCAGCACTCACTACAGGAGGGGATGTACAGGTCAAAGATGGTCACTGAGTTAGAGGAGAAAGTTGTCCAGCCATTGTCCGTCTTCCTTCTCTCTGATCTTGAGAAAAGATTCCAAACTGTAAGATACAATTATCTTCTCTACTTGCTACATTCTTTGTCTTCTTTAATTCATAGATAAACGCTGAAGTCAATCACAAGGTCAAAGACTATCAGCAAGTTAGGCTTCAAACCCAGAAGGCTAAAGAGCGTTATTTCTCTTTAGCTGCCGAGTGGGAGGGGTCACTGATGATGATACATAAGGAGTATGGGGCAGTGTGGGAGCCAGTGGCTGGTAATAAACTGTACGAGAAAGAACAGCAGATTTGTAGGAAAGTGGACGAGGTATGCTATTACTTATCATTATTTGTAATACTTGGCATTATTATTATTTTTCTGTTAGGCTAGGCTTGATTATGAAAGCTGTGTTGAAAAGCTAAACGCTAACGTACAAGAATTAACATTACAGCATCTTCCCCAGGTACATGATGTCTGCTAGTCCCTCTCTTCCTCTCTCTCTCTCTCTCTTTTAGGCTCTGCTATCATTACAAGATACAACAGAGCAGATGGTCTCAGTTGTTCACACTGCATTGAAGAGCTTTGAGACATTACAGCTCTCACTGTTAGGAAAGATAGAGACGGAACTGGTTAGAGTGACATAATGTCATTTTAGAATTATACACGTAGTCCTTTATCATAATTGCATGGCCGATTTGTTTAAATATGATAACATCTGATCTGACGACATTTATAGTGTTGTTATCTCTACAATTTTGGCCATCATTAATGAGGTATAATTTAAAGGCAGTGTTGAATTGTAAGAGTAATTCCACTGTAAAGGCTCACCTCTACATCACATAACTATTATTATTATTATTACAATGGTAATATTTTATAATTTAGTGGTTAATGTTCCTTATGATCTAACATGTTATTTCATGATTTCCTTCTCAGAAATTGAATTTCCTTCTGTATATACATACTAATCTGTATTGAATCATTAACAATAAGAAAATGTTTATAAGTTTATACTAGTACATTGATATCTTTCTCTTTTCTTTATAATTCATAGTCCAGTGCCTGCAGGGACTACTTCATTGTTCCTGACTTCTGTCAGAGTTATTTCTTCAAAAACTTTGACATCGAATCCCCTCCCTTGCCCCCGTCATTTGACTTTGATGAGTATTCATATAAGGTAAATACAATATCAGTTCAATCACTGCCAGTTTTATGTGCGATCTCAGGATGGAGCTCTTGAGGTTCAAGCACGTAAGACTCAGTATCGAGCCATGTCACTTCTCAGTCCGTCGGAGCTAGCAAGTCGAGGGGCCATGTTTTTGGGCGTATCCTCATTAACTGGAGGAGGAGGAAAAGGAAAGGGGAACGGACCAGTCCCTGCTATTAAGATAGAAGGTACGGTCTAATTCTCTTTACTGAAAATATTTATATAGTTATCGTTGTAGGTTTAAATCCATTCCTTGTTGAGGTTTGTGTTGAGTATCTCAATCAGCCCAATGCCCTAAAAGAGGAGGGTATATTTCGTGTCCCTGGAGAGACCAGCACCATTAGATCCTTACATGCCGACTTTAAGACAGCTGGACAAGACAAAGATAAACTAAAGTAGCAATGTCACTCTGTTGATTTAAAAAAATATATTTTTCAATTAAGGTCATTAGTGATGGAGCAGTATGATCCGAATAATATCAGTGGTTTGTTGAAGCTTCATTTGAGAGAGAATCATCTCATTTCGTCTAAAGTAATGGCCAACATATCAGAGCTTCTCTCTCGTCCTACCACTGAAGGAGTGAGTATTAAAGTCACTCTTTAATCTACATGATACCCACCCTCTTTCTCTACCCCCCTCTTTCTCTCTAGGCCCCTCCTCTTATAGAGGAAATAACTGCTAACTGTACGAATCAAGAGCTCCGACTGCTGTCCCTAGTAGTTGAATTAATGTCAAACATTTCTGGCGAGCCCGAGAACAAGATGAATGCTCGAACTCTCGGCATAGCATGTGGCCTCTCTCTCTTCCCTCAACTTGACCCTGGGCAAGCTACGCGGCTCCTAGAATATCTAATAAAGAATCGTGATCAACTCTCAGTTGCTGAATCTGCTCCTGATCAAACCGGAAGTGATGACTCCAGCAGCAGCAGCAGTGCTCCTTTGTCAGAGTCTATTTAAGAAACTAGTTTTAACTCGTCTCCTTTAGGAGAGCTTTTTAAAATGTTGTTAGGATGAATGCGTATTAATTATAAAATTTTTTGAGAAGAGAGTCTGCAAATTTTTGTTGGTGATAAAAAACAATGAGCATGCGTCGGTTTATTAAGTTTAGTAGTTAGTTAATTTTAATAAAATAACCAATGTGAACGGGTTAAAAACAAGAGTATTGTCTTGTTCAGTCAATCATGTCCGAGATCATGTCTTCTGAGAAAAAGGAACCCAAACAAGTAACAGACTGCTATTTCAGTATACTTACAGTACCTTTCTAGTCTTCAGGCCCTGCTAGTGACGGGGTTCATCAGTTGAAGTGGATCCCCTGGGGCAGCACTGAGTCTGATGATAATGTGTTTGTACCCATTGTTACTCAAAATGAGAATGGTCCCTGTCCACTACTCGCCATATGCAATGTACTTATTCTTAGAAACCTCCTCGTTATACCACCAGGTACACAGAACTACCAGTACATGTTATGTGCCTATTTTGAAATGAAAGGTCTGCCAAGCTAGGATTGAATCTGATTTCAAATTTATGGTGTCATTTTGTGTTGTATATATACATGTCATGTATGTAGGTGAGACTTTAATCACTTCGCAAAGATTAATGGACTTATTAGGATCCTGTCTGTTTCAGTGCAGGCCAAACGTACGTCAATAATCAGCCTCTAATGAATATACTGCTTTGTGTTTTCTCTCTAGGATCTAAGTGAGACCGAAGTTACTAATTATGAACAGAATGTGGGAGATGCCATATCTGTGTTCCCTAGACTATTGACCGGGCTTGACATAAACGTCAAGTTTAACAGGTTGGACTGGTTTGGCTAGGTTTTTAATGTGATTTGATGCCAAGTTGATTTCATGTATGCATTTTGTGTCGTATCTCTCTCTCTCTTAGTGTTTCTGGTTTTGAATTCACTCAGGAACTCTCTATATTCGATTTGCTCAGTGTCCCTCTCTATCACGGCTGGTTACCCGAGCCGTCAGATCAACAGTCTTACCCTCTCGTCTCCTCTTCAACTTATAATCAACTAGTGGAGCAAGCAATTAATGATAGGTCATCTGATGACAGTGCTAAAGTAAATGCAGGTAAATACACTGTAGTAATAGTACTAGGCCTGTGTTTTATTGTATTATTTCTATTTATTCTATAGCTATAGTTATAACTGATTTTTTGGAAAGTACAGCATCACAGCTAACCTATCACGGTCTATGTGAGCTGAATAGGGTCGTCAGTGAGGGAGAACTATGTGTCTTCTTTAGAAATAATCACTTTAATACAATGCTTAAAAGAAATGTAGTGATGAATTCTTTTTTTCAATATTGCATCATCTCTCTCTCTCTCTCTCTCTCCTCATTAGAATGAGCTCTTATTACTAGTTACTGATTTTGGGTTCCTGAATGAGTTGGGTCACGTGTGGCATGTCCTCAGCGATATTGACGACAGTGGATCTTTCCTCGACTCAAACTTCAAACCATCTTCAAACCTCCCTCAAACTGTGACACAAAGATTGTAATTAAACAGTATTTTTACTAATAATATTATTTATTTATTTTTACTTCAGTACGGGGGAGGAGATTGATGTGCCGATGGAAGTGGAGGAGAGAGAGACAGAGAAGAAGGAGGAACCGAAAGTACCAGAATATACAGCTGAATTAGAGTAAGTATATGAGACAGGGCCTCTTGTTTGTAAGCAAAACTGATGAGCTACATTGTACATGTGTAGTAAGGACAGGTACTGTCAAAAATGACTAGGAGAGAATTTTCCATTTTTATAATTTTTTCTTATACATATACATGTTCTAATGTTGTATATCAAGTTTGAACTGATTCTGATCAAATTTGAATTTTTTACGAATTTTTAAAGTTGCTTCGGAATTGGGCCAAAGTCCCTGTACTATATAGTACATGGTCTCGAGCCAAATTTCGCCAAAAATGACTAGGAGAGAATTCTTCATTTTTATAATTTTTTCTTATACATATACATGTTCTAATGTTGTATATCAATTTTAAGCTGATTCCGATCAAATTTAGATTTTTTTACGAATTTTTAAAGTTGCTTGAAAAATTTTATGGACCATAACATTCACTAAAAACAATAGACTGGTTGTCCATGGTAGATGTTTTGGGAAAGCAGCTTCAGTAAAGCCTAAAGCAAGTCAAAACTGAAGCTTATTTTCTACTCCCTTCTCATGTTTATAGCACTCAGATTGCAATGGATCTAATGTCAGAAGAGGAACAACCCATTCAACCAGTGGACAGTCCAACAGAGGCCTCTATCGCCACAAGGCAGCTGCTAGCAGAGTAAGGACTCATGATGTTGATATATTTTGTGATATATAATGTGCATTTATCTTTGTATGTATATAGTGAAGAGCTAGCAATGAGACTTCATCAAGAAGAACTGTCAAGAGAAATAGAAGCATTTGGAGGAGGAGGAGGAGGAGGAGGAGGAGGAGGAGAAGCAAGTCATCATCCTCCATCAAGTAAAGAGGAATATGAACAGATTGCTTTAAGGGAACGCAGAGAAAGAAGAAGGACATCTAAGCAAGACAATGGCTGCTCTATTTTGTAAATAAAATAACATATCAAAGTATAGTAATTATCGTTTATTGCTTTTTAAAATTCACACATGCAGATGTACTCTACATTATTATAAATAGAGTGTTTATGATGAAAACTTTTATTGATTATTAAAATAATAATGCCAGATCTAATTATTTTTTGGTTGTTGTGTGGGTGGGTGTGTGTTATAATAAAATGGCTGATTTTTTTATTCAGTCAAATGAAAGAGACCAGCATCTTCCATCAGGATATAAAATATTACTGGTGAGTACTACTGCTGATGAAACTTTTATAATGCATACATTGTGTTTCAGCCTTCAGTCTCTGTGGGTAATGTACCTCAGTTGACTCTGGATCTCATTATAAATAGCCTCCATGCTAAGCTATCTGGCTGGTTTCAGGATGACTCCATTTTACCTGTCATTGGAAATAAGCCCTTTAATCATTCATCACCTTCAACTCTTACCACTCCGGCTGAATGTAATTAAAATACTTATTTATTATTATTATTATTATTATTATTATTATTATTATTATTATTATTACTGTTTTATAGTGTACATAAGTCATGCAAATAAATTGATGATAGTGCAGCTGAGATCTCCAATTGCAAAGGTAAAGAGATTCCATTAGTTTAGCTTAGTTATGATCAATTCCTAGGGAAAGTCTAATAAATTCATTAATCGGCTGGTAGAGTGGTTGGAAGCTCAAAGACCGTCTGCTGTTATACTATTAGCATCACTATATGCTGAGGAGAGAATGGATGTACATATACAGAGGTATCCACTGTTTCACTTGGCACATGCACAGTTAATTGTACACTTGATTGCACGTGAAACGTACATACACAGACATTGGGGAAGGAGGACAGTTTAATTAGCTCATTTTTGTTGTAAAATTTGTAATCAGTTTACTTTCTGCATGATAATATGAGAGTTGATAAACTTAACGATGTTTGTTTATCTTAATGCTATAATAGCCACCATAAGACGGTCTCTTTCTCAGTTCTCCTTTCAGGTTTTTGCTGAATGAGAATTCGGTTCACCTTTTTACTCACTTCAGCAGTGCTCTTAACTGGCAACCAATGGAACCTAGAAACAGTGAGAGAGAGAGAGAGAGGGAGAGAGAGGGGGAGAGGGAGAGAGAGAGGGAGAAGGAGAGGGAGAGGGTTACTATATATTATTCTTAATTGTTTTATTTCATTGTTCTAGCTGAAAATAAAGCAGCATCACCTGATGGAGTTTTAGAAATTGAGCAAATCTTTCTTCCCGGATCAGGATTTGCAAAACAAATGTATAAAAAGAGGTTGGTAGTATTCATAGTCTTTTGTTTTATTGCAGTTTACTCTTCTCTCTCTCTCTCTCTCTCTCTCTCTCTCTCTCTCAGTGCTTCGTTGCCATTAGTAACGATTGCTGTCTTCAGTTCTCAAGGCAACAATTGTCCTGATGCTATAAATATGGCTGATCACATTGACCAGTGGCTCAATCTTAAAGGAAATGAAGAAGGAGAACGAAATGGTGAAGAAGTGTTAGAAGTTTTGTTGTACAACTAACTATAATCAATTCTTCTTATCTATAGGCTGGAGTCTGCCTGCATCTTGGAGCTCTGTTTACGGTGGACCTTCTCCTAAATCTCTGTATTAAAACTCATTCATTATTATTAGTGAATCATAGATCTAATTCTTTTGTTGCAAAGGCTCAAAGATTAATTGCAGCTTACAAATCAACGTTGCTACGCCCACGCGGAATATTCATCGACCACGCCCCATTTAGGTTAACGCCTTCACCAACTGCACTGAAGAAAGAGATTAGGAGAAGCGAGCGTCACATTTTCAAGAAGCCGCTATATTGTTCGTCTTCAACTCAAGCCGAGTTTCTGAGAGGAGACTAGCTATATCCTTTAACTCTTCCAGTGTTATTTGACAGTTTTAGACGTGGCAGGCTACTCATAGAGGAACTAGAGAACAAAGTATTCCACCATTATACCAGCTTTGTACTGTACATGTGGCTTGCCTTGGTAGAATGGTAGAATGGTAGTTTTTAGATTTCAAGCTTGGGATGGTACTTATAATATAACTCCTTGTTTTATTGTACATTTATTATATACTGTACATGCCTGTATGTATATGGCTATGTATCCTCTTGATAGTATAGTATCATTTTCTCTCTCTCTCTCCCTGTGTGTATTATTTTTAAGTGGAATTTGTTGATTTTATTGTAATAAGTAACGCACAAGCTCATTGACGGCTGTTAGCAAGTTATTACTAACTGATCTTCTATGGTATGGTCCTTTCTTGAGTGTGTGTGTGTGTGTGTGTGTGTGTGTGTGTGTGTGTGTGTGTGTGTGTGTGTGTGTGTGTTTCTATGGGTGCTTTCTTTATCTGTCTTTTTGTGCCAGCAGGTAGTTCTCATTCTTTTAGTGGTAGTAACCCTCATATTATCATTCCAAACACTCTTGGCTTTCTTTATTCTTTCTCCTTTCCCTCTCTCCCCCTCTCTCTCTCTCTTCCTCTACTTTAATCTTCAATTTTATGTTTGTCTATTGAGTCTATGCATGTTCCATAAATACGTGTCAATGTGTATAAGTAGTGTATTGGCAAATATAATTAATGTTTTTCCTTGTATTTTATATAATTATATATTTCATTATGTACACATAATAAGTATGTGTGAGTCATGCTAATGCTCCTCTTCATTTGTTATTGAAAGGTCAGCTAGTTATACTGTGTTGTATTTCATTCAACTGTTTATCATAATGGCTAATATTAAACCATGTAATGTCTCGCTCTCACGCTAAGTGTTGCATGTACATATGTGTGTTGTCATTTGTGTATTGCTGCCAAGTTATGCCAAATTGCAGGAAACAGAACAAACCTGATTATTATTATTATTATTTATTTATAATACTTTCTTATAATTTTGCCGGAAGAAATGGATTACATGTACATGGCATTAATGTATAGCTACATGTGCATAAGTATGTACTATATGATCCTATAATAATCATAATACATGTTCATGTAACCACTTAGACATACCTTTACTTGGCTTAGAAAGAAATGCTAGCTTGTAGTGTTGTTTCTTCTACAGTGAAGTACTGTATCATGTGCAGCCTCTGTTTGCATAACTAAAATAAGATAAATCACATTATTACAGTATATATTATAATTCACATACTATACTTGTATCATATGAATGTGTACAAAGAATCTTTAATTTACAGTCAGATTTGCTATTTTATTGATAGAGTGCCAGTAGTATTAGCTCATTAATATAAAATATTGTATTTTAATGTGGTTGCTATAACGCATAGTAAGTCTGGTGTGGTCATGTATTAGGTGATATACCTTTGTTTTAATAATAATTATTATTTTTCTTATTATTTTATCATTATTATCATTATTAATGCATACAGAGTCGTGTTTATCCAGTAGCTCTGTATTATTACCTTATATGAATGCGTTTCGTGGTTTGATTACTGAGCTCAAGTTTACTTTAAATTGTTGACTGTTTCTTCTCATTACAATTCCATATAACTTTAAACTTTCATGTTAACTCTTACTATTACATGTACTGCCCCTCCTCTGATTATTATCATCCCTCTCTCCAGCATCTCCCTATGTATATGTATTGTGAAATGTCTAATCATTGTATTAATCCTCAGTGGGCTTTCTGTTTGTCTACCTGTATCATTATCCACTTGTGATAAACCCCCCTTTGTTTGGCATTTGTACATAACTTAATGAGTTTCTTCTTGTTATTAGATTGAAACTGTCAATCATAAATGTATATCCATTTTGACATATACTTTACTTAGATGTACGTGTGTATTTTTCCCCCTCAGTTTATAAACGCCTTTACTCTCATCATGGAGTGGGTGGAGACCATAGAGCCGGAGTCCGGTAGCATCATTTATGCTAATCTAGCGACTGGTGAAGTACTCAGACAGGCACCACCTGATGCCATTATGTAAGTTTATGCTAACATCTGTCACATTCTGTCCAGCATGCTTTTGTATTGTAGTGGATTTAGTAAGAAGTGATGTAGGTCTACAGATAGTGTGTTTGTGCTTATAAAAGGAATTATGAACCTTCTTTAGAGTGTACATATCCATGTAATCATGTCAGAGTCTCTTTTAACGATACTATCATGTGTAATTGAAGCCATTTTGTCTCTTTTTTGTTACTCTTATTTTTCTATTAGTAAGCCAATGACAAAGAAGCAGTGGCTCATGTTTTATGATGCTGAGTCTAAAGATTATTATTATCATAATCCTCATACTAATGAGACTGTGTGGGATAGACCAGAGGGAGCTGATATTGTCTGTCTTGAGAACTTACAGCAGGTCCCACCTCTAGCCTCCCTCCCTCTTTCTCTCCCTCTTTCTCTCCCTCTTTCTTATGAACACAACATGTGAGCTGTTATTTTACTATTATTGTCTTTTTTATTGTAGGAAGGGACTGATAGTGGAGGAGGTACAGTGACAGCTGCAACTTCTAATGAGGTACATTTCATGCATTTTAAGTATACATGTAGTGTAGCCTCTTTATTAAGGACACCATTGGGCCCACACTACTTGTCCTTAATACATGTACAGTGTAGCCTCTTTATTAAGGGCACCATTGGGCCCACACTACCTGTCCTTAATACATGTACAGTGTAGCCTCTTTATTAAGGACACCATTGGGCCCACACTACCTGTCCTTAATACAGAGGTGTCCTCATTTCAGAGGTACTATTGTATAGATTTGTACCAATTATGGGACATTATAAAATGCCCTCATTATAAAAGTGTCATTATTTCAGAGTATCCTTATTAAAGAGGCTGCACTCTAGAACAAGATTGCTCTTTTACACACGCCAATACTTGCTCTTTCTTCCTTAGTTATCTCCAAGTAGAAGTGATAAAGTTAAACCTGAGGAACTCCCTCCAATGGCGTCCCCTGACTTCAATGCTCCTCTTGATACCCTCAGTCCTCTTGACGTGGACTTCAATGGATGCCATAGGTACAAGCATTGACCAATACACACACTTATTATGTATTACATTATACATGTACTACTCTATTGTTATCTTATGATACTAAAGATCATTATAAAGACACACACACATACATGCAGTTATATATATGCACTTGTAATTGTAAATACTGTGCATATTTAGAATAGCTCTCTCCTGTAGTAATGTTAGCATAGTTTATGTATAGTAGATGTATGTACATGTATGTTTACTGTGTACCCTCTTTTCCCTCCCATTCATGCATGCAATGCTCATCATACCCTTTGCATGCACATGTACGCACATTCACATTCACATACTCGTACACATTACTGTACATGCTCTGTACAGTAACGAGCATCAACAAACACACTCTCACAGGTTCTTTGACTCCAATCAGTCCACGACGGTCGAGGGGACTCCTGTACAGAAACCTGATACCGCCAAGACTCATTCCCATACCATAGATAGTAATTCCGGTTCCCATTCTCACAGCTCCTTTAGTAACAGTCTGCCTAGGATGAAAGCTAATACACATGTAAGTTTTATTATTATTTGTTATTATTATTATTATTATTTTTTTGTTATTAGGATAGTTCGATAAAGGATAGCAGAGGTGGTTACCATACAATAGATAGGACCAGTGGTTGTCACAGTGGATCACTCTCCTCTGGCAATAACACTTTAAGTGTAAGCTAAAGGATTACATGTACATATGTACATGTACATGTATCTGGTATGTGTGTATGAGGGATACACATTGGTCTAAAGAGAGAGATTCAATACATTACACATGTATAAATAAGTAAATAAATAAATAAATGAGCAAATTAAATTGATTAAAATGATAGAGTAAAGTTGTGCTTGCATGAATACATTAGTAGTAGTAATTAGCCTTTACTATGTATACTATGTGTTACTCACATATTTTCATTGTTACATGCTCTCATTCTGCTTGTCAACCACACACGAAAATACCAACACCACTACATCACTCATTACATCATGTACCTATGAACACACGTTATGTTGTATGTACACTGTACATGTATTTTGAGCTACAATTTAACATTGCAACAACTAGCAATTACATTGCATATTTTAAAGCATCATTATAATTGGATTATTATTATTATTATTATTATTATTATTATTATTATTATTATTATTATTATTATTATTATTATTATTATTAGGTGTCTATGGATAAATCAGGATACAAGAGACCAGCTTCACTTACTAATCCAGCGATACCAGAGGATGCTGCAGTTGCTCCTCCTCCTCCCCCTCCTCCTCTTCCTCCTACTGACTTCTCTAAGCCTCGACTTGACAGCTATCTTGTTGTGTCACTCAATGATGTCAGCAGAGATGATTCGGTAAGGAAAGAAAGAAGGAAGAGAGAGAGAGGAAAATGAAACACTCTTTCCTTCTTTCTCTTTCTTTATGTACAGTCAAACCCTCGTCGTGCCTCGTTCGGTAAAGATAAGAAGAAGCTCTCAGTTCCTGCCGTCCCTTCCGTCATTGTAAGTACACCTACACAATACGTACATTGTCTTTTTATCTTATTTATTATTCTAAATAAAGCCCCACAAGACAGCTGGAATACCAACCCCTCCCTCTCTCCCCTCCACCTCTCCTAAGCAAAATTTAAAGATGAAGAGGTCTGTCTCAATGCAAGCTGATCTAGGATCCTTTAACGAGCTCGCCCAACACAAGAGAGGATTCTTTAGGCGTAAAGTCACCATTGCCAACATGCTCTCTTGGACAAGGGTATGCAAATGAGAGAAATGCCATAGATTTTAAACATTTTAAGTAAATTAATCTTTTATTTCTTTTTTTGTCTCTTGCTACTTTTATGTACATGTACTGCTATTGTGAATGTGTTTCTCTCCTTTTTATTCTCTTCAGGATCCCATTAAACAGCCTATGATTCTTACAAGAGACAAAGAGCTTAGGAAAGAGTCACTCGAATTATTTAAACATATCCTCACAGATAAATTATATACCTTATTAAGTACTCTTGATCATAGACCATTATACACTTTACATTCAGGGTTTCCCCCACAAAGCATGCTAAGTGAACTAAACAGCATGAGCTTCATGAGCTGACAAGCACTACAATACAGTACATGGCATTTGGAGCAACTTTAAAAATTCATAAAAAATCTAAATTAGATCAGAATCAGTTCAAACTTGATATACAACATTAGAACATGTATATGTATAAGAAAAAGTTATAAAAATGGAAAATTCTCTCCTAGTCATTTTTGGCGAAATTTGGCTCGAGACCATGTACTATAGTACAGGGTCTTTGGCCCAATTTTGAAGCAACTTTAAAAATTCGTGAAAAATCCAAATTTGATTGGAATCAGTTCAAACTTGATATACAACATTAGAACATGTATATGTATCAGGAAAAATTATTAAAATGAAGGATTCTGTCATTGTGATTTTTGGCTGTGCTATAGTACAGGGTTATTTACTTTTGTTGTGCAATTGTTTTCCTTAATGTATTCTATTCACTGGTGTTGCAAGCTATGGGAGATAAGAAATCGAAAGTGAAGAACCCAGATGCACTGATACTAGAGATAATGTCACGCTGCTGGCAGAAGAAGGGACTCAGAGATGAGCTCTTTGTCCAGCTGTGCAGGCAAACGACGGCAAACCCAAAATCGTGAGTTTCAGTAATTTCGTATAATATAATACCAGCCCCTATTTTTATTTTGTATACTTGTGATTACGGGTATATTTTTATCATCATTACGTGATTACAGGGAGAGTTTAAGAAGAGGATGGGAGCTGATTACTGTTGCTCTTCATTTCTTTCCTCCGTCTGTCAAGTTCAGAGGATATCTTGAGGGATATCTCTGGAAGCACGTTGAATTTTCGGCGGAACACAAAAAGGTGACACAAACATTTAATGTCCATGTACTCTCAGGGAAAGTAGCTATTGGCTATGTTACTTGTATTTATTATTATAAAGTAATTATTTCATTTATTTATTTATTTATTATTCTATTTAGGTACCAGTTGTAACATTTGCCCAATATTGTCACAAGAGGATAGAGAAGATGGCTCAGTGGGGGGCCAAGAAAGGACTCAAGAAGCCATCAATGGAAGAGATACAGTATGCAAAGGTACAGTATGGCCACATGTACATGTACATGCATATATTATATCACGTATACATGTACTGGCCATTATTCATTAACCTTTCCCAGCTTGCATAGGTGAAGACTAGGTACTATTGTTGTCGTCCTTCTGTGTGTGTGTGCTCTCTTGAATAAGTTGATTTTTGAGCTGACACTGCTTTCTTGTAAAGTCCTGGTGACTCTTATATTCAACACTGCCCAATGAAAGAAGCAGTTCACTAGTCTAAGGACCTTCCTTAAGCCACTCAATGTATCTAGGCAAACAGTATTTGTGCCATTATAACATCATAATAGCACTTAGAAGAAGAGAAAATATCTGAAGCTTGCTTCTCACATGGTTGCACAAGGTTGTTTGTATAGTACTTGTACATGCATCTCTGATAGTGACCACATCAAAAGCTACACGTGTCTGATTTGAAAACCCACGATGCTATTTCCAAAATAATTGTCTATAAAAGGACAAATCCTGTAATTGTATTGGTAGTTGAAGCTCATTAAGAGTCACTGCTTATGCGAATTTTTGGAGGGACTGGTACTGCTATGCAGTACCAATCCCGTCATACAAGTTAATGAATTTGTAACTTAATAAACTTATGTCACTTTTCAATAATTATAATAACTCCCAGACATTGATGAGGCAAGGCCATCCACCTTTGTTATCTTGTGTTATTATTAGTATTTTTACTATTCTTTATGTCTTTAACATTGTTTGTATAGTAACATTTTAAAAGTCACTACTTGCTACTCTCTCTCCCCAGACCACCCCATTCACCATGAGCATGTTCAGTAATACGCTAGAGGAGGTGATGGAGATACAGGAGGAGAGGTTCCCTGGCCTTAACGTCCCGTGGGTCATAATAGAACTGTGTGAGGCCATTCTTCGACTGAGAGGACCCTCAACTCAAGGAATATTCAGGCAAGAATGCGATGACTGCTTGGAATTACAATCATTCTCGTTTCATTGTGAAATAGTGCTTTAATTTAACTTCTGTTTTATTTAGGATACCTGGTGACATTGATGAAGTGAATGCGTTGAAGATTCACATTGAGAAGGGGAAATCTGTTCCAGACTCAATATCTGATCCACATGTACCAGCGTCACTGCTGAAACTGTGGTTCAGGGAATTGGAGGACCCACTCATACCTGAAAACTACTAGTATCCTTCCACATAATGATAGCTACATTATAAACATGTTAAGTTTGTGTTAAGAATGCATTGAGATTATTTAAAGGATTGCGTTAACGCTGCGTTAAAGTTTCTTTTTGTTTGTATTCCTTCACTCTCTCTCAGTCAATCCTCTATAGATAATTGTGATGTGCCTAGTAACGTTCTCTCGCTGGTCGATTCATTGCCGAGTGTTAACAAAAGAGTTCTTTGTTACATAACGGAATTTTTACAAGTAAGACTGGGAGAGAGAGAGAATAATCACATGTACATGTAAATGTAAATCAAGAGAAAGCACACAGTGATATTATTATTATTATTTATTAGTAAATACAATGTAACTATTAGACCAGTATTGTGTAGTTTGTAGATACCGTACATGTATAACTTTGTATGTGGAGTCGAAAGTGTTTTATTTGATTTTTTTATGTAGAAATTTACGACGAAGGAGAGTAGCGACCTGACGAAGATGGGTATTGATAACATCGCTATGGTATGGGCTCCAAATTTCCTTCGCTGCCCTTCAGATGATCACCTACTAATATTCGAAAATACAAGAAAAGAAATGACTTTTCTACGTCACTTACTGAAGAACTATCGGCCTTCGTGAATGTCGTACAAATAATAAATAAATAAATAAATAATATTAATAATACTAATAATAATAATGTTATATAACAGTAGTAGTGTCACAAAGAAAGGACAGTGAAAATAACATAGGCTATTATTATTTATTATTATATATAAAAGATGGGTTTGCTTTAATGAGTGTTTTCACAAAATATTTTTTGTTTTATCATTTTTGATAGTGTCGTTTCTCTCTCTCTCTCTCTCTCTCTCTCTTGTATGGTGTTTCTTAAATTTTGTATAATTATTATTAAATTTAAAATCTTTATGATGGAGGTGTGTCTTCAATTTATTTTTGCTCTGCTGAGATGGCGGTTTTGCTCTTCTTGTTTCTCGTAGTTTTCACTAAATATACTGTCAGTTCTTTTCATCCGGCTAGTTCCGTCAGCTGTAGTGGTACTCCTCAATCTTCGCTTCCTTTTTGTGACAGTACACTCACTCCTAGTGAAAGAGCAACAGATCTCGTGTCACGTCTTTCGAAAGATGAGCTAGTATCACAGGCCAATGCTAGAGCAGGCCCAATAGATAGACTAGGTATTAAGGACTACAACTGGAGGTCGAACTGTCTTCATGGCTGGGCTCTCTCTGGAGGCAAATGGCCCGAGGGAATATCCTGGACTAACTTTCCAATGCCACTTGGTAAAGACTGTAGTCTATTTACTAGTAATTTTCATGAACAAAATTGATTCTTAATTCTGTTACGGCGAGTGAAAAGGATAGTTTTCCAGCTGATTAATTTTATGGACTACATGTACATGTATCGAATAGTTTTAATGGGCTATCTATGATAATTTTATGTTTCCTCTCTTTTATTTTTACAGGTCTAGGTGCCTCGTTTAATCCTTCTTTGGTGAATAAAGTGGCACAAGTTACTTCCGATGAAGGACGTGCTCTTCACAATATAATGCTCTCTCAGTTTGATGGATCCAGTACTGAAGCAGCTGGACTAAACTGCTTCTCTCCGATGATCAATATATTCAGAGACCCACGCTGGGGGAGGGGCAAGGAAACCTTTAGTGAAGACCCTTATCACATTTCCTTGATGGGTGTCGCTTATACAAAAGGACTACAAGAGGGAGAAGACCCAAAGTATGTCTCATGATTTGCAGCTGAATTATCAATTTTTAAAGTTGCTCCAAAATTAGGCCAAAGTCCCTGTACTACAGTACATGGTCTCAGGCTAAATTTTGACAAAAATTACTGGGAAAGAATTTTTCATTTTTATAATTTTTTCTGATTTATATACATGTTCTAATGTTGTACTAAATTTGAACTGATTCTAATCAAATTTGTTTTTAAGAGCTTTTTAATTTGCTTAAAACTGGGCAAATAACCTTTTTTCTTTTGGTTCTTCAACCAATATTCAGAGTACTAGTTAAATTTTATTTTTCCATTTTAGATATGTCAAAATAGCGGCCTGTGCTAAACACTATGCTGTCCATTGTGGTCCTGGTGACATTAGAAACCGTTTCACGGCCAACGTCAGTCTTCACGACCTTTACGATACTTTCCTCCCTGCCTTCAAGTCCCAAGCTATGGCCGCCAATGTCCTTCAAATAATGACAGCACTCAGTGGGACTCGGACAGTCCTTAACGAGGACGGTGCTCCGGATTCTGCTAATAAATATTTAATTCAGACTATTCTGAGGGAAGAGTTTGGGATGGCAAACGTGTCTGTCATATCAGATAACGGAGCAGTGGCTCAGGTGGACACCGTCCATCATTTTGTGTCTAATTTAACGGAAGCAGCTGCAGTTTGTATGAACGCTGGCACTGATCTTGATCTGTACAGTGTTGCTTACGCTCAGTATCTATCAAAAGCTATCGATAATGGAACTGTCTCACTGGATACTGTGAGAGCTGCTGTCTGGCGGAGTTTTTATCTTCGAATCCTAGTGGGGGATTTCGACCCATATGAGTCTGTCACCTACCAGCAGATAGATGCCAGTCATCTTGATACACCAGCTAATCAGAAAGTCAACCTTGAATCTGTCAGAGAATCAATCGTACTACTAAAGAACGTACAGGATGCTTTACCATTGGATCCGTCAAAGAACAAGAAGATTGCTGTCATTGGGCCATTGGCTAATGATACTGATGATCTGTTAGGGAATTACGTTGGTATACCATCGAAAATAATTAGTGTTCTAAATGGACTAGAGACATACAATAGCAAACATTTTAACGGAAGCATAGAGTTTGAATATGCAGCTGGTTGTATGAGTGTACCCTGCCCTAATGTCACTGGATTTGATGAGGCAGTGTCCCTAACTGACTGGGCAGACACTGTCATTGCTGTAATGGGGCTAGATGATACACTGGAAGGAGAAGGACACGACAGAAAACCAACTTCATGTTCCGAGGACTACAATCCGATTGATGTCCTTGATCTTCCTGGTTGCCAGTCTCATTTGATTAAACGTCTTTCAGCGTCTAAAAAGAATATCATACTAGTACTTATGAATGGCGGACCACTGACAATACCCGACTTATACTTATCTGATAGTATCGTTGGGATATTGGAGACATTTTACGGTGGCTCTCTGGCTGGGACTGGGATTGCCGAGGTCTTATTTGGTTCTTATAATCCAGCTGGTCGAATGCCAGTCACCACTCTTCTCACTTCAAGTGATTTACGTGATTCCGTGGACTATCGTATGTCTCCTTCTCCTGGTCGTACTTATCGATATTTCTCAGGCAAGACCTTATTCCCGTTTGGCTATGGACTCAGTTATACGCAGTTCGAATACTCTCATCTCAAGTTAAAATCTGACACTATTAAACCTTGTGATGGGCTCTCCGCTAGTGTAGTTGTTACTAACACAGGCTCAAGGGATGGGGACGAAGTTGTTCAAGCGTACCTCATTCCTCCTCAAATAAAGGGCATCACAGTCCCTCTACAAGAACTTGTTAATTTTAGTCGCATTCATATTAAATCTGGTAGCGAAGTCTCTCCTACTCTAGCAGTATCATCGTACATGCTTTCGTTGGTTGACAATAATGGAGATAGGTACATATATCCTGGAGCGTATCAGCTCAGTGTAGGAGGGAGCTCTCCTGGTGAGTCTGTGGCTATCAAGACTAGTGAGAATATTGTTGGTAGCTTCACAATATCAGGCACCAAACCTGTCTCTGTTAATGATTGTGGTAGTGGGGCTCCAAAGTGTATGGCTTGTGATAAAGATAGTCAATAGTCATCCTCTCCTGATACTATTATTAATAAAATGACTCAGTACTCATTATTTAATCATTTGATCAGTAGTTCGTATCATCGTTTCTCTTTATACATGATTTTTGTATTATTTATATTGTAGGCTTTTTTTCAATCAGTATCTTGCTTCTTCTTTTTGAATTTTGTTAAACTCATATAGTCCTGTAAATTAAGCAGCAGTGACTTTTGCTGAAAATAATTAATGACCAATTTGTATATAAATAATAGCAATATTATTATTATTATTCATAATGCATGGGATTCTAACAATAAGATATGATTCTGTTATTATGATGGCAGCTGTTGTTCTTCATCGCTAAAACTAGCTGATCCTGACATTCTAACGAACCTAATAGAACAGACTAAAGCAATGACCATCAAAATGGCACAGAATAGAAATATCTCAGACACTCCACCTGAAGCATCATGCAACAGCAAAAGAGCTAGGGCAGAGAGAAGAGTGAGTGGAATCCTAAATAGTATTATGATCGAGAGACGGTTCTCTTCAGGTAGGATCTTATCGCGGAGCGTCCTCATTATAGGGAAATAAAACCCACACCCAAACTCTATCAGTTGGAGACAAATGAGGACAGTAAAGCGAAAGAGGAGTGGAGGATCATTGTAGCTGAGAAATGACGAGATAAAGAAGAGGACAGCGGAGCTAGCAATGACAGGAAGGAGTAGATTTGGTAGTCTATACTTCACTTTGTGTCTCAAGTAGTCATGGATGATTCCTCCTAGCATAAAGCAGACCATGAAAGAAGCAAAGGTGACTCCCAGTGGTATATCGCTCATTAGCAATCCTTGAGATGAAATGAGTACATTGTCTGATGATCTTTTTAGTCTACCACCAATTGCCGGAGTCCATATAAATACAAATACAAATAGGGAGCTCTCGTAGAGGCTCTCAATGGTACCAATCAAGAACACATCAGGAGTAATGGCCTTGAGTCCTTCTCTTAAACTCTTCCTTATCTCCTCCAGTTTCAGCTGGTCTTTATTATTACTGTCTTTCCCATCACTCCACAGAGCCAGTACTAGTATAACCACAGCTAGTAGGACAGGGACTGCTAGTACAAAAGGAGAAGGAGGTCCCAACTGGAGCCATCGTGCAAAAAGATCGGCCAAGAGTCCAGCAATGACAGCCATTATCCCATTACCGAATGCAATGTGATTGAACGTGACACTTATCCATTCCTTTGGGAAGTCATACGTATTCAAATGCTCTCCTAAATACCAGGCCTCAAGCGATGAGAAGAGAAGAGTATTAGCAGCTCCGGCAAGACATCTTCCTATAGCTAGGACCCAGTAATGGCTTGAGAGAGTCAGGAAACAAGAGAAACCATACAACAAGGAGGATATGACCACAACTCTACGACTACCATACTTGTTAGTGATGAGATCTTTAGCAGGAAACACAAATGCACTTGATACGAGTCCTAGAACATAAATGACAGCCACCTGATGCTCAAGGTAGCCATAATAATGATACAATCTGTAGAGATAGGGCCCCTGGAGCCAGTCTCCAAGGACTGCCAGTAAGTATATGGGGATGAACTTCCTCTGGAATTGAATGAAGTTTGGATTCTGAGCAGATTGGTCTTGAGTTATGCGCAGTTTGAAATAAGCCACAGCACAAAGGACAGAGAGGACTGAGAGAGAGAGATAGACTAGGACAATCATTATTATTCTGCTCTTGAATGACCTGGAGGATTATTAGACAAAAAGGAGAAACTGTTAATAATCTTCAGTTGAAAATTTATGTGCAACATACATGTAAGAGCATGTACATGCATCAGAAAAAAATTTAAAATGAAGAATTCTTTCGTTTTCATTTTTGCCAGAATTTTGGCCAAAAATAAGTACTATTATATATAGTACAGGGACTTTGGCCAAATTTTGGAGCAACTTGAAAAATTCGTAAAAAATTCAAATTTGATCTGAATCAGTTCAAACTTCATATACAACATTAAAACTTGTATATGTATAAGAAAAAATTATAAAAATGAAAAATTCTCTCCTAGTCATTTTTGGCAAAATTTGGCCCGAGACACTGTACTATAGTACAGGGACTTTGGCCTGATTTTGGAGCAACTTTAAAAATTCACAAAAAATCCAAATTTGATCGGAATCAGTTTAAACTTGCTACACAACATAAGTACATATATATGCATCAGAAAATATCATAAAAATGGAAAATTTTTTCCTGGTCATTTTTGCCAAAATTTGGCCCGAGACACTGTACTATAGTACAGGGACTTTGGCCCGATTTTTGAGTAACTTTAAAAATTCATAAAAAATCCAAATTTGATCGGAATCAGTTTAAACTTGCTACACAACATAAGTACATATATATGCATCAGAAAGTATCATAAAAATGGAAAATTCTCTCCTGGTCATTTTTGCCAAAATTTGGCCCGAGACACTGTACTATTACCCTAACCTAACCTATTCATTTTATCTTATTATTTTTCTCTCACTTATTTCCGTTATTATTATCTCTTCTTTTAACCTACTATTTATCCCTGTATTATATCTATTTTGTAAAAAATGTTTATTTAAGGGCTCAGTTCCCTTCTACACTGTACTAAGTACAGGGACTTTGGCCCGATTTTGGAGCAACTTTAAAAATTCATAAAAAATCCAAATTTGATCGGAATCAGTTCAAACTTCATATACAACATTAGAACATGTATATGTATAAGAAAAAAATATAGAAATGAAGTACTTTTTCTAAGTCATTTTTTATGAAATACATGGGTCTTTAGCAGCTTTAAAAATTTATAAAACACTCATATTTTCGACCAAAACCCACACTAGTAACCACTAGTAACTTGCAAGCAATCATCAATGCACTGAAAATATGAAATTAAAATAAAGTAGAACCTCACCAAATAATAAAAACTCGCTTTGATCCTTATTTCTTTCGTTTCTTCTAACATAAATCCACCATATTATAATTTCCTGTAACTGGAGGTGTGGTCTCACTACTAACATAATTTATGGCGCATTTTAAAAATAGATCATATGCTATATGAAAAGTTTGAACTCTTCATTTTGGGCAACCATTTTCTCTACTGCTTTTCCCCACCCTATCAAAATAGTTTTTAATTGAATTTAAATTTTCTGTCGAAGCTGAGAGAATATTTAAAATTTTGAGAAAAAATGTTGCAAAAAGAGTAGGAAAAAATAATAATGTAAGCTTGCTTTCTGTCTGTGTATTTATTGTTATTATTATTATTATTAATTATTTATTTAGAATAGACTACAAAAGGTCAATAAAGAAAGATGAGAGCCTTTTCGTTCAGTGACTGAGAAAAGGTGTGAGAGAGAGAGAGAGATTAAGAAGACTCGATTAGCGTTTCGCATCTCTTCGCTCGTCAAAACTTATCACTTCTTCGTAAATGAGCTCTGAAAAAAATTAAAAAAAAAAAACATTTATAAAATAATAAAAATAGATTTCAAAATCTCTTACTCTTCCACTGGGCCAGTGGAATGTTTTTCTCATCCAAGCAGTGATCATATTTAGGAGGAGGAGGCTAATAAAAGAAGGAGAAATTGGGGTATATATTTTTCAAAATGTCTTCTTTTTCTTACAGCATCAGCTTCAGAAGGATCGTACCAAATAGATACATAAGGATGCTTCAGCGCTTCGTCTACAGTCACTCGCCTTGTTGGCTCTATCTGCAGCATCTTTGTTAACAAATCCACAGCAAGCCGAGCTTAACGAAAAACACATAATAGTAACAATATCCTTTTTAATTGTCTTCTCTTTCTCTCTTTCCTTTTTCGTTACTTTTATGTGCATCTTCCTTGGAATCGTTAGGAAAGACATCATCAGGAAACAGCTCATTCCAAGACTTTCCCTTGTGCCTTGGTTGACTTTCACAATACATTCTGACCTAAGAACAAGCAAGCACAGTCTATACATGTACATACTTGGGAATTATAATAATTGCATTAGGAATACTTAAAAGCCCTATTCTATGTCACAGACTGTACTTTCAAGTTGTATTAAAGGACAAAACAAAACGCATTCCTTAGCTAACATTATTAAACAAGATGCCATATAACAGGCTAAGAACCAAAGCATAGCATTATAGGCTTTAATAATAATTTACTGATGGTTGGAGCTGTTTGAAGAATTCTTGAGGAGGAGTTCCAAGTATTTGAGTCACTTTGTTCCATTGGTCAATATCTTAAGAGCTGTTAAGGGACCAATGATGATTAAAGCTTCAGTATAATAATTGTGAGATTGTAATCTTCTAATATACATGCATGTATATACATGTGTGTGTGTGTGTGTGTGTGTGTGCAATGTGGTTTGATAAATGAAAACATTGATGTCATCATAATGATACCAAAATGTGCTAAAAGTTATCTAAACACACGAAACCTCTGAATGTGAAAGACATACTGGCCACACCAGATGCTAAAAAACTGGAACCAAAGTAAATACCCTCCCGCCCCCTTCAATGATTATCTTTCAATCTCTTTCTCTGTGATAATGCCACAGGTACTCCATTAATTGACTCACTCTCTCTCTCTCTTATAATAAAGTGTCAAAGGATACAGTCTCTCCCTGGGAGCAGTATGTCACCTCTGACAATCTCAGCAAAGATACAACCAACAGACCAAATGTCAACTGGTCAAGAAAGAAAGAAGAATCATAAAATGAATGATATTAATTACATTAGATACATGTACATATAGCTACATGCACTCTGTCATGAAAAGGTTACATGTTAATGATGCATGTACTATACCAGAGTACACTATAGGCTAACCGTTTTCTTTATATTTCATGCCAACAATTACTTCAGGTGCCCTGTAGTACCTAGTGACGACGTATGGGGTCATCATAAAGGCTTTGTCGGCAGCTCTGGCTAAACCAAAGTCAAGGATCTGAAATAAGAGACAAAATGTTAGAAGGACACACGTTTAGAGTGTACACACCTTTAATGAGCAATCCTCCTTCACTACAATGTTACTAGGCTTTAAATCCTACATATAACAGATAGCGATCATCATCATCATCATCAACACAGCTGGTATCATAATACTTACTCTGTGAATGATTCCAGCTGAATGCAAATGCTTTATATAAAGAGAGAGAGAGAGAGAGAGAGAGTAACAGAGATATTAAATGGAAAGAGAAAGAAAAGAAAAAGGTGAGAAAGATATCAGAGAGTGAGTCAGCAAGTTTCTGATTTAAGACGAAAATGCTTTTCTCAAGGGACAAAGGGAACAATCACACACACTCGAATGACACTTTACTGTTATAATATAAAAACAACTTGACACCTTCTTATTCATACAATTCGCCATTTGATAAACACATGGGCTGTATGACATCTCTCTAGCACTGTATAGTCTATAAGGAGACACTTCAAATAGATCACTACTTGATACAGAATGTATTGCATTTCATTTGATGTAGGAGTGGATATTATGATAATGACACACACAACATATGTACATATGCTCTCCTCCTATTCAAACAAAGGTAGTGTATATTAGTTTAGTAATACTGTGCTCTGACACTAATACTGTATATAGTGGATAATACTAGTGGCCTGTGTTGAATTCAAAATGATTGTAAACACACATTTGTTTGCTATTCAACTTCACACCTTTCAGTAAATTGGCTACTTCACAAACAATCTCAGAACACAATAGGAACACGCAAAACATAAAAGTGATATAACCCTCTCCAATACTGGAGTAATTACTCTTAATCTATGTATGTATGTATGTACAAGCATACCTTGATGCCACACAGCAGCTGATAGAGGAGGTATGACATTCTGTCATGGTCTAATTCTATGCCAATGACTCTACAGAGGTTAGCATCCATTAGCTCCATCACAATATAACTGGGGAAAAAGGAGAGAAAGAGAGAGAGAGAGAGAGAGAGAGAGAGAGAGAGAGAGAGAGAGAGAGAGAGAGAGAGAGTGTGTGTGTGTGTGTGTGTGTGTGTGCATCTGGTCATTTAAAGAATTTATGCTAATCAATATACTACTACAAATTATTGACAGATTCATGTAGTCTTACATATTTAAGCCGTACAGCTACACGACATGTACATATTTATATACTTACACATCCTCAAAATCCTCAATAGAATGAGCCGGGCTAAAGAGATTCAACAAACCGATGACCTGAAGCAACAAGAAACAAAAGAGAAACATTCCTTACATAATTGCCATCATTATAACTAATCCTATTATCATCAATATCATTCACAGTAGTAAATATAAAGTACAAAATACATAATCATAATAATATATGAACATGTACATGTATATATGTCAAACCATCATTATGACATCTGAGATGCCGGTATTGGCTATTGAAAGTAATGGAGAACAAAATGTGGTACAACTCATGTTCTGGGTTAAGACTGTTATCTTAGTGGACAGCCACAGCAAAGATTTAGGAATGCAGCAAGCATGACCACAATAAAAGATTTAGGACTCCAGAACAAGATTAACAATATAGATAGAGGCAGTTACTATGGTGGTGGCCAGAGAAACATACTATAATAACATAACCTCAAGCCTGTATGTCTTACACAAAATACAATACAAATGATAATAACTATGTATCAATATATATACATACATGCATAAGGATCATAACCATTTATTATAATTAGGATACAGGAGTAACTGATACTTTCAAGATCACACAGAATATATTCTGCAATAGCAGTGTATACTTGATAGCACTGGTGGTGGCAGCATAGTGCATTTATCTATCTTCAGGTAGGCTTCATCATATACAGTGTCACTGGGTTTGTTCAACCAACAACAACAAACTTACATTCTTGTGGTTCACCATCTTCATCAGTTTCAGTTCCCTAAACGCTCTCTTGGCATAAGTCTCGTTCTGGAAAGGTTTTACAAGCTTCTTGATGGCTATCCTCTCTCCTCTAACAGAATCTTTAGCAGAACTGGAGACGAGAAAGAGAGAGAGAGAGAGAGAGAGAGAGAGAGAGACAAAATTAAAAAAGGAGGGAATGAAAGAAATACAATTGATTCTTTTCTTATCAGTAACAAGTAATCCTTTACAAGAGGCCTAGGGAATATTTAAACTACAACCTAACAGCTGCTACTAAGAAGATGCTAACTTGACACACGTCATAGCTAACATCAGCAACAAGTATAGGCTGCCAGGACTCAAACAGCTTTTATGTACGGGCGCAGTATATGCTATAACACAACCAGCTGCCAAGAAATGAGCTAGACTTACTCAAGCAAATAAAAATCCCTGGCAATTACATAAAACAAGGCTAAAAAATAATACTACTAATAATAATAGTGAATGTAAATTATTGATATGAGTGAGAGAGACAGAGAGAGACAGAGAGAGAAAGAGAGAGAGAGACAGAGAGAGACAGAGAGAGAAAGAGAGAGACAGAGAGAGGAAGATGATTGTGGTCTTAATACTTAGAAACACACACAACATCAAATGGAGGCTGTGTGTAAAAGTATGTAAGTAGTAATAAAATACTAATTACAACAGAATTAGAATTATTGTGTGATACTGATTAGTTTAGTACCCTCTTTTGTAAAGTGAAAACCAATACATAAACATGTGTGGAAGCAGACAAATAAATAAATGCTGTATCTTTGTAATGCGTACATTCTTTCATGCTATATACAAGTAGCATTTATACACGGAGGTTTAACATAAATACAATAAAAACATGCTAATAATAATAACAATAATAAATAATAAATAATAATGATAAATAATAATAGTATTAATAATGATATCTGTCTCAAGCAAGTGATATGATGTGCCTAGCACAACTATGCCCATACAAAAATGATACAAAACTGTAGGAAGTGGATCTCTTTTCATATAATATCTACATTATAGTTAGTACCAAACTACCCATTTTTGTACTCATTAATGGTACATGCTTACAGCTTTTGATAAAACACACATTAGCTCCTAATCCCTTCCCATCTACAGGCTATTAATACGTATATGTATGTTTAATGTAGTCCTCTTTTACCATACGACTCCTTGAGCCCCGTGTCCTAATGGTTTCAGGTCCTGGTATCTCCGTGGTATCGTGAAGAGCGTGTCACCTACTTGCGTGGTGTAGAAGTCAGCCATGATGGGTGTCTGCCTAGCTAGCTGCCTTCACCCTGTGCGTATAAGGATGTGCTCTCTCTCTAGTTCAATATTATTCAACCTTTAGCCCCTACCTTTGCTACACTGCGACCTCAAGAGTATAAACTAAACTAAACGAGTTAAATAAAGTCTAATAATCTATTTTTAGATCTAAAGTGATGATGTAATGTCAGCCACACCCTTTAGTGCAAGGAAAATTATTTATAACTGTACAAAATTATTTCTAATAATAGCAAGACTACATAAATAGGTATTATAGACTATTTAGAAGTCAATAGTTTATCTATCTGATACCAGTACAGAATTCATTTATATGGCGTCTGAGTTTTTGAATCTCTCCTACACGATACTGTTTTCCACATTTAGGGCAGACCAAATTAGGATCGTATGGTCTGTCATCATTCTCATTATCTTCAGTAAATATAACTTCAGCTGTCTCAGGGTTCCGAGACATTTTACGAACCTCGTCTGCATAATGCTGTATCTCAGTATCAATCCCTCTTATCAGCACATTCTCTGGTATCTCACCAGAGCTCTTCCTTTGGCGTCCTGATCCATGCCGAGGTTCTGATCCATGCCGAGGCTCTGATCCATGCTGAGGTCCTGATCCATGCTGAGATCCTGACCCATGGCCCTGAGATGGGTTAGTAGTAGTTTCATCATTTGTGGAATGATTTGATGCAAGATCACTGCTTCTTTTAGTTGCTTTTCTATTTTGTTCTGGAATCCCTGCATGAGGTGTGTAGTAATGATGACTTGATTCTTCTCTTGATGGTGATTTTGGTCCACTGTCTTTCTTCTCTGTGATTGCCATTTTGCCAAATAGTTCCTTAGCTGTCTCATATTGTGTTTTCCATTCCTTGCTTGTAGTATGGAGTTCTTCATACTCATTTTTCAACTTTTCTTTTTCACTAGAGGCTTCTTTATATTTAGTTTCCAATGCTTCCTTTTCAATCTTTAGATCATCCATTTTCAATAAAAGAGTCTAAAAACATTCATTCAATCAATGACCTTTAACTATGATTACTATAGACTACTGCTACCAGGGGCGTATCTAGGAATCGGAGAAGGGGGGTGCTGGGGGCGCGCGAAGCGCGCCGCGATTT